TTTTGTTTGTTAATTGTTTTACACTGTATTCAGAATAAGTTTGTGTTTACTGGTGTAATAATGAACACTAATATTGTATGGGTACGTTCTGTATTTGTATTGGCTGATAATGCGGCTGTTTATGCTTTAACCTTTATGTTTTTGGGTCACGTTTGTTGTAAAATTTTTAATAATTTGCTAGAATTAGCATGCGCCCATATCGTGTGTGAACGTTTTCGTCTTGCATAAAATATCTGTAGGTGTTGAAACGTTAATACGAATATAATATAGCTACTGATCTATATGGTCAGTACAAAATTATCTTGTCGTCGATATCACTTGACATGGCTAAATATATACGAATGGATCTTCGCAGGAAAAAATTTGTTGTGTCCGTATATAATATTGCCTACATTTAGCCCCTTTTTTGCAGTTATCAAAATGTGATAACATTGATAAACCGATAACATCATTTTCATTATAAATTATAATATTATATTTTATTATATTAATTATAATTAAAATAGTTAAATACATTAATAGTTAATAAGTTATTAAAAAACACAATATGGTAATTTAAAATTTAAAAATACACAATTCATTGAGAATACAGTATAATACAGTATAAATGTACAACCTATTTACGCGGAACATTATTTTAAATTTTCAATCTTTAGCTATAAAAGGTAAATTATATAATACAGTTTAAAATTTGATAAATATTTTCAAAATTCGAACTAATGCCCAGATAGCAATTGTGTAATGATATTATTATTATTACAGTACACAAATATTGTTATAAATATAATGTTATTATAATAACATAACTATCCAACTAACATAATATTTTTACATTATTAATATTATTAATTATAATTAAAATAGTTAAAAAATTTAATAATACACAATTCGAGAAATAACACAATATTCATTATTCACTTACGATCAGTGGCTTAGCCAATATTTCTACAAGGAGGGGCCCCAAAAAAAAAATTTAATAAATAACATACAAATAACAGTGTTTTAAATCTTTTAAAAATTTTTAATAATTGTATTTATATCTCCAGTTTGCATAGATTTGATTCGTTTGTAAGTAATTCAATAATTTTATTGGAATGTTTTAAAATATGTTTTTGTTTTTCTTCATTTATAGCCCCAGCTCGATTTTGCAGACCAATCATAATTTCCATTTTCGTATTTATTTCATCAGTTAAAGATGTTTATGATATTTCAGATATTTCAGCAGTGCTTCCAAGTATAATATTTTCATCAACAACTGGTAATGTTATAACATTACTATTATTGCTATTATCATTCATGACAACAATAAATTTGGCAATGGCATGTATATGTTTTCAAATATTAAAATACAAAACATTATCTATGCATGAGCATTTAAATGTATGTACACAGATATTACAAGAATCACAACATAGAATACAATTATTACAAATTACATTACATTTTTCTATTAAATATTTTACATCTGATTGAGTTTCAGAAATAACAATCCATTTATTTTGTTCCGTTTCAGTAATCATATTTGATGAAATATTTACACTTTTATTATGACTTTCTTTATTATAATAGTTTGATTATTATGTTTGTTAAATAATATTATTATTACCATACATAAAAAATAATTTTATTATAATATCTATAAAATAATATTATTAAATTACTAAATAAATATTATGTTAGTTGGATAGGTAGTTATGTTATTATAATAACATTAATTTTATAACAATAATTGTGTGCTGTAATAATAATAATATCATTACACAATTGCTATCTGGGTCAAATCGAATAATCGAATATCGAATTTTTAAAATATTTATCAAATTTAAAATTGTATTATATAATTTAACTTTTATAGCTAAAGATTGAAAATTTAAAATAATGTTCCACGTAAATAGGTTGTATATTTATACTGTATTCTCAATGAATTGTGTATTTTTAAATTTTAAATTACCATATTGTGCTTTTTAATAACTTATTAACTATTAATGTATTTAACTATTTTAATTATAATTAATATAATAAAATATAATATTAAAATTTATAATGAAAATGATGTTATCGGTTTATCAATGTTATCACATTTTGATAACGGCAAAGAATAGGCTAAATGTAGGCAATATTATATACGGACACAAAAAATTTTTCCTGCGAAGATCCATTCGTAAATATATAGGTATGATCGCAACTTTGTGATACGCAGGTGTCATGGCCGCCACTGGCAGTGAATATTATCACTTCGATTTATTTGTAAACAAAACAATACAAATGATTAATTTCATGGCTAAATAAATCTAAGAAACACTGTCAGCTGAGATTCCTTTCCATGCTAAACATGCAATAATTGTACGTGCGCAGCCTGCTCATAACGAAAATGCGTCTCAATTCGATCATGCCTATACATATATTTAGCCATGACTTTTGGGACAGTTAAATAAATGACAGAAGAAAAAGAGTGTAGAGACCTCCCGGTGTTCATTTTAAAATTATTATCTTGTCTATTTATTGTCTAATATTATTAATCGATGAAAATACAACAGTATAATAATGTTATCATTTTAGATTCTGAGTGAAACGATGAATGTATTGATTTTACAATGATGTGTGTTTTTTTATTTTTTTTTTTATTTTTTTTTTATTTTTTTTTTTATTTTTTATTTTTTTTTGTGTCTGTCATCACGTTTTAGGACAGTAAAAGTGCTTGGATTTTCTTCATCAGTAGCTTTTCTGATAGGAAAGTGAATCTAGTTGGTACTTTGGGGGGTCAAAAGTATAAATTTCCCAGTAGTTTTCACAAGCGCCGGGAAAAACAACATAAAAATTAAGGAAAAACGGGAATTTTTAGGCAAAATTGGTTTTCCAAAAAATCGATTTTGGTTTTTGGTGTAACTCTAAAACAAATGAACGTATATACATGAAATTTTCACTGGTTGTTTATATTTGCATTTTCTATACACGAAAACATTTCCAAAATATTTTGATTTATTTTGAACTGTTTAGGGACATTTTCATTTTCCATTTTTTTTAGTTTTTTTTCTAAAAATATCAATAAAATTTTATTTGTTGGTTGCGAAAGCTTGAAAATTTAATAGAAGGCTCCTAATATATTGTTTCAAAGGCAGATGAAAAATATTAAAAATCCTTAGTCACAATTTTTTTTTATAAGCATTTAAAGTTCAAAAATTGACAAAATATGGGAAAATCACGAAAATTAGCAAATTATTTTGAGTTAAGAATTCGTGAAAATTTTTCTTTTTAAATCTAAGATTTGAAAATTAAACACAAGATTCCTTATAAGTTTGTCTACCTTTATCAAAAGAAAAATGTCTAAAAGAAAGTCAAATTAAATTTTTATGAGCGTTTGAAATTCAAATTTTTACAACATTGAATATTCACTCGATTTCCCATGTAGCGATTTCCTTATTTTGTTGTAATTCAAAAACAAATAACTGTAGATACATGAAAATTTCACTGAATGTTTATATTAGCATTTCCTATACACCATACAATTTTGAAAATATTTTGACTCTTTTGAGCTGTTTATGGACCTTTACAGCTTTCAATTTTTTTTAGTTTTTTTTTCTATAAATATCAATTAAGTTTTATCTGTTGGTCCAAAAAGTGTAAAAATTTAATACAAGGCTCCTGATATATTGTTACAATATCAGTTGAAAAATATTAAAAATACATAGGCACAGTTTTTTTTTATAAGCATTTAAAGATCAAATTTTGACAAAATTTATCAAAATCTCGAAAATTATCAATCATTGTAATTAATAAATTATAAAATGTTCAGTTTTTATAGCTAAGGATTGCAAATTCAACACAAAGGTTCTCGTAAATAGTTCAAACTGTAACCAAAAAATCTAAAAAATATATGAACACAGTTATTTTTTACAGACCTTTTAAATTCAAATTTGGACGAAATTACATATATAAAACCTAGAATAACTATTTTAGTTATTTTGTTGTGATTGAATAATATTATTCGTGGATACTTGAAACTTCTAAAGTGTACTATTATATATCTATGATAGTATCACGGTTTTTGTTGATGTATAACGCGTTATAAGTACCTAATGGATATTTTGATATGATTAATTTGGAATTTATTATAGGTACCCATTATAGGTCAAATTTTTTGTTTAATACCATAGATATGTATATAATACCTATGTCTTATACATAGACTGACATACCGTCTCCACTCAGAATCGTTTTTCTTATACAATGATATTATATCGTTGAATTCAAATTTAATATCATCCATTATACAGTAACCCCCTTGTAACCTACTGTACAGCAGAGCGACACCCACTTGCCCACCTTTTTAATAAACTGATTGGTAGTAATCAAATTTATCTAAGAACAAATAATACTATGATTAAATTCAAACTCGAATAGTATGAAAATGGTTATTTTGGTTTGACATAAAACTAAAAAGTTTGATTAGAGATGATATTATTTTTGAGTTCGATCAATCTCTTGACTCTAATAAATACATTTATATAATATTATATGTTTTGTAGCCTGCTGTGACTCTAATTTACAATGAGAAACGCAAACGGCGGCGACCAGTTTTCGTCAGCGGCAGACAACTAGACAAGTAACACCCGTTTTTTCAGCCCCACCGGGTCATCAATCTGCCTTGAAGTATTGCCACGCACATGCGCACAAGTTGGCCACCGTTTGCGTTTCTTATTGTGAACAGTGTATGGGAATCAGCTTGGAACAATTTAGTAACAACTTCCATCATATGTCCCTTTCGGCCTTTTTCTCTTTCTCTATCTTTCTGGACACCTATAATAACAAATGTTTGTTTTTTTTTTTTAATTAAACAAAATATTAATTCGTCAAAGTAAAAAAATGATTATCTAACATATTTAATGCGTTCGCATGAGCAATGTCAAATAAGTCATCCGATTTTGAGGTGAACACCACTTCTTTTTTAATTTGACATTCGGTTCTTTTTGTAGAATTTTTTGAACTATTCTCCATTCATATTATAATTTTTCAAGCTTAGATATACAATGCTGAATTTCTTGTACAGGAATTCTTGCTTTTTCCCAAAATATTTCTATTTCACGTACAGTGAGACGAGCACTTTCACGTATGTTCATTTTAACAACTTGTAAATTGTAGAAAACAACTAATAAAGCCTGCTTAATGGACGTTAATTTTCCACCAGTAATTTGACTGCATTCGTTACCCAATAAAAACACTTTATAACTTATTTTCGAACACATGATATTATAAATCCACGACAATATTTTCAGAGAAACACAATTGAAAAACACTGGAAAACGACTGACGGCTGTTCACAAACTAATCTCTAGGCTAGAGAATTTATGTTGTGTAATTAACGTCAACTATCAGCAATACGCTAAGAGCCGATACAAATAATACCGGTTTACCCATATAAGTTGCTTTGATTTATAAAAATCGACATTGCGATGTTTATTATTATTATTATTATTATTATTATAATACAACTTATATGAAGCGTAGAATGTCGGTCGACGAGCGAATCAGGAACTGAATATTGAAAAATCCGCCAAAACGTCGGCGGGAGGATACAAGTTCGGGTCTGGTCACCGTTTGGCGATCTCAACGCGGGGTTTTTTGTGGGTGAACTGTTTGAACTTGAACCGGCCGACCAAATGGGTCGTCCGCTGAGGTGATGGTGGCGGCCTTGTGGTCAGCGGTGGCCGCGGAACGACATCGACGAAGTCGAGGACCTGTGGCCGTATATACCGCGACGGTTGACCGCCGTTACGTCCGACATCCGCAATTATTCGAACCGGTCCAACCAATCGTCTATACACTTCTGCAGCGCACACATGTCGTCATGCTTGATCTGCTTGACTGCGGCTGCTGTTGTCCCGTCTACGGGCCCATTCTTTCCCAACGCTTTGTCCACGCATTTGCCCATCGGCCAGTTGACGTGCTTCGCCGCCCGCTCGCTGACCTTGGCGCGTGCGTCTCGTCGTACTGCTTGATCGCTTCGATCATCTCTTTTTGCTTGCCATTCGACTGTTTCGTTGTCGCTATCATTGTCTTTAACTGTCCCGTCGATCGTGTCAATGCGGCCGATCATTCGGCGCAGACTGTCCGACACAAATTTTCCTTTGGCAGACGCGACGTCGTCTAACCGAGGGGCGGACGAATCACTGACGACACCACTGCCGCCGTCGCTCTCGGACGCTATGATCTCGGCGTACAGATCTTGAATGGCTTCTTTGAGGCCACATGCCCCGGAGATATGGCCATCACTATCACCGTCAGTCCCGCCTCTGCTACCACCGTCAGCTCACAGGACTTCGACCGTCGGCAGAACGATCACCATCGCCACTAGCGCCATACCTTTGCGGTACATCCCGTCGCTGTTGTATCGATGGTTCTAACCATCGCCAACGGTTTCACTTTATTTTCCGTTTATAGATTTATTTGTATATCGTTGTCACCGTTGTCCACCAATTAGAAAACGGTTGCCCGGTGACCACCAAAATATATCTATCTGTTATCTAAAAAAATCTCACTTTCTAACAGGTTGGGAAAAAAATGTACCGGTGTCCGAGAATTTGGCAACTACCTATAACAATTTTTTTTCAAAAAAGAGTGCAGTAATTGTGCCATTACTTCATTATTTTTATAAACTTCCTTATACTATTGTTGGGGGAAATAAGAGCTTATCATGGTGTATATTATTATACAATGCCGTGGTAATAATGATATGTTTTGAAAATATTCTCGTAAGTGATAGGTCTTATCATTAGTTTTAGTGTTCTAAAAATAAATACAATTTTTTATACACAAATTGTCTTTCTTTTATTTCAACAGTGTGGGTACTGACGTATACATTTTTAGTGTCGCAATTTTATCAAACACGTCTATATACGTTTATATGACTGACACAAATGAATGGCAATTATTCCACAGAGTTATTACAATCAAAAAATCACTTAGTAAAACAGGAAAATGGTTATAAATTTGAAATTGTTATGATGTATACTTCGATGTTGTAATTAACGTTGAATACTACCTAACTATTATTTATTATTGTAAATATATATATTTTTATTATTTATTTTCGTTTAAAGGTATAAGGCATAATACAAATTAAAATAAAGGTTTTAATTAATATATATTATTCAAAATATCATGTTAATTCTAGTCAAATTATCTATTTCGTTCTTGCAGTGAATATTTACTCAAACTTATTTGGAACATAAAGAACGATTATGTTAATTAGATTTTTAAAAGGAAGGAGGTTATTCTAACGCCTCAAACTGTGCTATACTATTTATTTAAATGGTGATCTATACGTTGATAAGAAAAAAAAATTATAAAATGTTACTTTATTTCAAACTTTTAAGTTATAACACCTATAGGTGTTGGTTTATTTTACTTTCATCTATGTTTCTTAACTGAAAAAATAATTTGTACATTTACGTGATTTTGATGAATTCCTTCAAAATTTTAACTTCAGCCAATCATAAAAATGTTGTGAGACTTAAGCTCAAATTGTTTTTAATTAACTTTGAACAACTTATAAGAATCTGTCAACATACTTTTAAGCTTTTTAATTGAGTGAAATATTATTTATTGAGAATTATTGAAAACAAATTTATGATGTTTCATGGTTATGTATAGCTTAAAAAGTTGTCAAAATGTTATGAAGTATACCTATTGGAAATACTAATACTAGATAATAGGCAAAACAAAATTTCCTACTCAATAATATACAGTGCTTCTGAAATGGATGAGGTACCTAGGATATGCGTACTCAATGTGATGGCCCTATGAATATTTTTTTGAAATTTTGTTTCTATCTTCAAAATCTTGGTTTATACATAAATTTGTTACATTAATTATTTTTTTTAAATGTAATATTATAGGTCGATATCGTTTTTTTTATTGGAAAACAAGTATATATACAATCTGTAATATACAATACAATAAGTAATAGGGGGTACAGTTTGCAGGACGGGATGGCATGAAAAAAGGGGGGGGTCCAATAACCCTACTTCTTAAAATTCTAAGCAGTTTTTTTTTCCTTTATTAAATGTTAAGGAGGTCCCCTAGGCCAATTTCGTTTGAGACGGCGTGGTGGGTTATTATAATATATCATAATATAATTTGAAATAAAATAATACATATTATTTTTAACTTATTTAATAACAATTTAAAATATTATTTAATATTTGTTTACGTTTTGTATAGTTTGTAAATTTATTATAGTTTTTGATTGTTTAGAAATATTCTCTGAAATATAATATTTTCTAAATAGCACAACGGACATCTTGCAGGCTCATGTAAGCAATAATATAAACATTGCAATATGCTGTTTACTATTATTGTTATTGTTGTACATCCAAACCATGCATAGTGACATATTTTGAGCGTCTAATATGGCAACGTCTTGTAGAAGAATTGCCACTTCTGGCTCTGGTTTGTCATTATCACCATCCCATTGAACCAGTTAACTTGGAAATTGAAATATCCATCAGATGAGTTTGAAACTATCTGCATAAATTTCAATGATATAAGTAAACCATTATCATACTGAAGTGTTGAGTTCTTGTTTTTAGTAGACTGAAGGAGATAATCTTTCCCTTTAAATTTCTTGTAGGTTAGAGATTAATTAGGAGTTGCTGGGTTGTTATGTTGTAATTCTTGAAAATATTAGGAAATCACATAATATACATTGGAAAAAAATCCATAGAAGAATAAAATCAAATATTGTAAAAATTGAATAGAAAACTATATGTTTTGTAAATTAAATAACAGCTTTAAGTATGATAATTTTAGTTTGTATTTACGACCAGTTTTGAATTAAATGATCATCAGGGGTAGTAAAAAGTCAAATTTTAAATTGTGACCGATTATAAAAAAACTCTTAATAAAAGAGAATAATCCTGTTATAATTCTTACTAATTTGTACATTGAACAAATCCAAAGTTTTACATAGAGATATATTAAAGTAATTACAAGAGGATCTTATTTAAAAAATATATATTAGTAATTATAAATGTAAAACATACGACCTACAATCTAACCTTGTATATAATATATTATTATGTTGACAGATTACATAGACATAATATAGATTTACTGCGCGTTTTTACCCCCTCGTCTTCAATAAACTCACCCATAATAATATGAACAGAATATGTAAAATAACATGGGAAAAACACTAATTCTGTTTTTATTCCAAGGTATTCTTGGGATTAAAATAAGATGATAAGACTTATTAAATGTAAATATACCTATTATTAGGTATTAATATTACATTTTTAACTAGAAAATACAATAACAATTTAAATATTTTATTCAATAACAATTTAAAGTTATATAACTATACTAAAGATACTAAACAATAAATCAGTGGCGTAATTTGGAATTGGTTCTGGGGTGGGATATAAATTTATATTATCGTTCTAGTGGGGGCTATGCACCCAAACCACCCTTGACCATTAAATCTCATATATCATAATGTAAAATTTATTGTTATAAATTAAATGAGGTAAATGGTATAATAATGGTTTTCAAAGACAATAAAGTAAGCAATTAAATAAGATTAAATGTATTTTTCATTAATTATAATATTAAGAGGACGTGTCACGGAAAACTTACGCGTGCAACGACCGAGAGGATGCGCCGTTAAGTGTTTTCACGATCCGCAAGCGCGCCGCGTTTAAGTCACGCCTACTATTCACAATTCGCAATTATTTCAACATGTTTCCAATTATGCGAATACACAATGAAATGACAGATATCTCTTTTGGAAAGTCTCAACTGCCCAATTATTTGATAGTAATAGTTATCATCTTTTTTTAAAGATATTTCTCCACATTCATTTAATCTTAAGAATTTTATCTAAATAAAAAATATTATTTATAGAACATAGAAGTACGAGTACCTAGGTCGTACATGGTATATGGACATAGGCGCAATTTCAGTTTTTAACTCGGAGGGACTATACATATTTAAAAGAAACAGACTCTTGGGGGAGGGCTCTGTCATCTGTTAAAATACCTTTTTTAGATGGGCTAATACCCTCCAAGTCCCCCCAAATTACACCTATGTATAAGAAATCATAAGTATAAAAAAACGTATAATTTTAAAATAAATTGCTGTAGTAACTAATGTATAAAAATATATTCTAGGTGGTAATGTCTTTTACTGTATTACCTTTTTATCTTTGATAGCCTCTTCAATTGTAGGATAGTCTTTTGCCGAATACGGACATTTTACTTCAATTATGCTATCATTCCCAATAAGCCCATCTAAAATTAAAATGCCATAAAGGATAGAGGATTAATTATTTTTTTTTTATAGGAATATAATGGTAAAAACCGGGAACTCGCTCTGGTGTACAGTTGGGGTGGGGTGGACCCAAACTATAATATACATTCATTTTGCTACCCGAAACCATCCCTAATTTTTAAGGTTGAATTAAAAATGTTGAAGGCACTAATTCTGCACCAAATTTTGTCCCCAGACACACAAAAAAATAACACATCATTTTCAAATCAATACATTCATCACTCAGTTTAGAATCTAAAATATTTTGAAATATTATGCAAAATCTTGCATTTATGTCTTAATTTCAGAAAAAACTCGGAGTTAAGTTGAACTCACCAGGCGATGCTCTGAAGAACGGGTAATCTTCATCAATGATTAAATCACATTTTTGAATCGTTGTCTCCATATTGCAGTGGTTCCCAACCTTTTTAGTCGGCGGTGTCCTTTTGTTGGTCCAAATTTAGTTAGGTGCCCCTCTGTGAATATCATGAGAAACATGATAAAAATGAACACTTCTTTTCATTGTTGAACGATTCAAATAATTTTATTGTACATATTAAAAACAAATTACAAAATTATGGTTGAAAATAAGTGGTAGCAAAAGGTAGGAGTATTGTTATTGCTTTTTGACTCAAATCTTCAAAACTTGTATTTTTCAAATTAAGCCAAAATTCAACGTAAGAATTGCTACTGAAGGTGGATTGAAATGTTGAATCTGAAGTAATATTGATCAAACTCTCATATTCGATTGAAGACAAGCCTGAGGGTTTTCCACAGACTGAAAATGGATTGACTACCCATTCACGGTCTTTTAAAAACACCTCTCGATCTATAGGAAAATATTTATTAAATTAATTTTTTAGTTGTTTGAGATGTTCAGAAATCTCGTTAATATTGCTAATGGGAGCTTGCAATTCGCTCTCCTCCAAAAAGGCCTGCATTATTGGAAAACACTCCAGCTATCTTTTAGAAATGCACTCTGACCAATAATCAATTTTTCTTTTCAATGCACATACTCTGGAGCTCGCATCAAAAATTGTCAAAGTTCTTCCATCTAAGGAAAGACTTAATTCGTTCATTTTGTTAAAAATGTCTGCTACGTATGATAGCTGAGAAAGCCAAGTCATGTCATTCATAGTTTCAGCTAATGTAACGTTGTGGTCCATTAGAAATGAAGAAACTTCAGCCCTTAATACCATTAACCGTGTTAATACTTTACCACGAGATAACCACCTGATTTCTGTATGGAAAATTAACGTACTATGAATACTTCCCAAGTCGTTACACAAGATTTTAAAAAGTCTAGATTTCAGGGGACGTGACTTGATGAAGTTGACTATTTTTATGGCTTCATCCACTACGTTTTTTAGACAAGGAGGAATGTTTTTCATTGCTAGATCATGTCTGTGAGGTATGCAATGACTACTAGTAGTTTCATTTGATTTCTCCTTTATTTTAGCCATCCTCAGTACATACATCGATACAGTTTGTCCATGGAATCTGATTTTCTGTTAAAAAATCATCCAATAAACCGAAAACCTTTATATTATAAAAAAAAACATATTGTTTATATAGAATCGGCATTTTTGATGGGTAACGAAGTGCACGGGATCAGCTAGTAGTTAATAATATTTAGTCAATGGAAAAAATGGCTACATTGTTTTAGTTCGTTTCACAAACACCGCCCATCTAGAGCGCTGTAGATGGTTCAAAATGTTTACATAGGAGTTGCCGATCTATTTTATATACTTATCTATGGCAGAAACTTAAAATAACAAGGCAAATCGAAAACAATTTTAATTTTAATTTCGATATTGTTTACCGTTTTATTATTTTTAGATTTTGGTTTCAATATTGATTACCAGTATTCTATTATTGAGGTTTCGATTTTGATTTTGATTTCGGTTTTTAACGGGTGTAACCGGTATTTAAAAATCGATTTCGAAACCGGTTTCAGGCCCTGAGCCTAAATTCATTCACGCACGTTATGCGTTATGCGTGGGAGGGAAAAATGGGTCGAGGGAAAATACTAATAGGGCGGGTAAAAAGGGGAAAAATAAAATGATCATACCAAAAATAATGAGAAAAAATAAGAGTTGCGATTTGGGGAATAATAATAATAAGGAACTTAGGAGAGTTGATTTATATGTTTTTTTGTTACAGAGAATAATATTTTATGAGATGAAAGTGGATAATAATTTTTTTTAGATTAAAAATTAGTGCGATGGGAGTTACCCCACGACTTAGTTCTAATCACGGACTAAGATATACGGAACTGGAAACCTTTATCATTTGATCAAGATCACATAACGGAAAGTAACGAGCGATCGTGGCAACAAAATTGAGTAGCTAAACTGTAGTCACTGTATAGTAAAAGAATAGTATAGGAAGCTGGTGAAAAAGATAAATACTAGTGGAGATGGAGCTACAATAGCTCGTTGACTTTCCGCAACAGATGTGGATCTTTTCATTATACAGTGCACCATTGTTCGTTTCCAGTCCTGTTAATCATAGTCCGTGGTTTTAATCACGGTAATCTACTCAGGTTGGAACACAAATCTAATCGCGTGACTAGAAATGGTGTAATGACGACCTAACAGCACTAGTTGTACGTTCCCCTACTGTAACATTGAGGTATATGTACCGGTTTCTGTTTTTTTTTCTAATTTAGGCAAAAATAATGCTTTTTCGGACACATTCCACACCACCAAAATTGAAGATAATGACATTTCACATAATGTATCATATAATAAATATATTAATTGCAATAAATAGTACCTCAAAAATAATTATTAATTTAGTTAAAATAAATTTGCGAACTACAAGTTTTAGATTCTGAGTGGTGCGAGAAAGCTAGAGGCTTTACAATGGTGTTTATTTTTTTAATTTTTATATCCTGTATACAAAATTTCTACCAGAAGGAGTTTTTCAAGTCATATATTTTAAATATTCGTGGTCATACTGCCAAAAATTCGTGTTTAAGGGGATTCGATGCAGCGTATTTATTTCATGATTTAGACCCAAAAGCCTGACAAAAATACGCCTACTTAGAATTATCAGATTTCAATTCTGTAAAAAGATTCGAGTTCATTGACAATTTTCCTAGGTTATTGTGTGGGAATCAATTTTCGATATTTTTTTTAGAATTCACGTTAAATCATATTTCGATTTCTCAATTTTTTGAAAATTGTTTGTGTCTTTCTTTAAAAATTTAAACAGTTATTCAAAAGTCGACTCCCACAATAACCTATAAAAAAGAACGATGAATTCAAATATGTTTACAGAACTAAAATCCGATCATTCTAAGTTATCGTATTTTTGTCAGGCTTTTAGGTCTCAATTTTTTGTTTTAAAATTAAATAAAGCTGACAGTTGTATAAAAACTAAAAACGGAGATATTTCACTGATAGAAAATATTATTACCTCCAACTGAATAGTGACGATATATTAATAATTGGACGGAAGTTTAATAAGTTAACAAACTTTTTTGATAATCCTTATTCTTCACGTTTATTAGATATAGAAAGTGTATCTAATATTAGTCATCTTCAGTCTTGGAAGTTAAGTGATATTAAAGAAATATTACTACTTAATTAAGCGCTAAGTTATTATTAAGTAACATAAATTGCTTACTTTAAAATTTGTTCTGAAATTAAACAATCATTTAGGTGACATTAATGAAATAGCTGAATTGATATGCAACTCTGGTGATGAATGCAATTTTATGATTGACAATGATGTAATTAACAATGTTGAAAATTCAACTACTTGTAGTTTAACTGAAAGTGTAAACATAAATGGTTTGTATTCCATTAAGTAAATTGTAGTTGGAAAAATATTATTCAGAATGTTTGTTCTAGATAACTATTGTTGCAAAAATATGTTGGCCATTAAATCGTTGATAGAAAAAAATGAAAGACAACAAAATCTATGTTAAACAGATCTTGATACAATTACACATGACAAATACTTCAAACACTAAAATCGTGAATGCCATAAAAAATTTGGACCAAAAAGTACAAATTATTATGATATCGGATTCTAGAATTAAATCTTTAGCTCTACCTATTCCCACATTACCCACTGCTTTCATTAATTTACTACCGGCAAAATCCATTGAAGAAGTAGATTTACTAGAATCTCTTTTATCAGATGAGACTGATGGGTTAAAGAATCAAGAAGAATTGGTGAGTATATATTCTTTTTGAATCATATTTTTATGTATATTAAATATTTACTTAAATAACTTACTTCATGTCTAAAACTTGAACTAAGTACTATGCGTCAATATTGTTATAGCTTAAATATCTCTTTAAAATACTTTAAAATATGAGCCATAATTTTTGAAATTTCAGAAAACTTATGTTTATATGAAAGTTGGAAGTATTAATTCCTTTAGTGCAGCAATACGACAAGCAATTGACACATGCTTTATTTATAAAATATTATCTACCTTCAGTTATAAAGGGAAAACAAAACGAGGTTTTGTTAATTTAAAATTATTCTCAATCTTTTATGGTGAGTATTTACATTTATATATTATAATAGTTTAAAAATATTAAGATACTATTACAATTATTTGTTATAGCAGCTTTGTCTGGTTTTCGAACTGATAAACAGAAAGAAATTACATTCCACAATGTTACAGACAATTACATCAGACATTCTGGCTTTCTAGTCTCAAAAGAAATATCATCTTCAGTGTTGTAATTATTATTTAGTATTATTACCTTTATGAATCGTATAAAAAAGTTCAAATTTTTTCTTTTATATTTTATTCTTATATAAAAAAAATTTACCTATTGGGTGCAAGTATTATTATAGTAATTATACAGGGTGATTTTTTTATCGAAGAACACTCATTATTTCAAAAAGTATTAATGTTTAAGAAAATATTTTTTTAAACATTAATACTTTTTGAAATAATGAGTGTTCTTCGATAAAAAAATCACCCTGTATATATATATATATATATATTACATACTATGTAGAAAATATTTGAAAAACAATTCTTGATAAAAATATATATATACAATATATACCTACTTATAAATGGCTTAGGAAGTACCTAATCTAAATATTATTATTTTTTTTTTTTTTTTACCATAATAATGTGCATTCTTAATTTTGATTAAATGTTTTATTAAGCTACATATTATCTAATTAATTATTATTATTTACTTAACACGGTTTTTACTTTTATTCTATTATATCAACTATTATTTTTTCTTATTTTATAAAATAAACATATATTGTATTTAAATATAATATTGGTTATATAAATAGCTAATATGACATTGTTACTATATATTTTAACATTTCAAATAATTATGTACTGTTTATATTATGTTCTTTTAGTTCTTTTAGTTAGGTTAAGGTGAACTTCTATAATTATGTATTTATAATTGTAAAGACAAAATCAATTTAAATATTATTAATCTTACTAAACATATTCCTTATTATACACATTTTATAATGAACTTAATAAATATTTGTTCCTAATTCATGTTTTTTAGTTTAATTTTATCTATACTAATATTATAAAGAGGAAAGATTTGATTGTTTGTATTGAATAGGCTCCGAAACTACCGGACAGATTTTAAAAATTGTTTTACCATTAGAAGCCGACATTATCATTGATGAATATAGGCTAATTTAAAAAGTGAATTGATCACCCAGGGGAGGTGCTTAAACTGGAATTTTGAGATTTACGATAGAAATTTGTGTTTAAAAATAGTTGCCATGGGTTTTAAAGCTATTATAATAATAAATAATAATTATTGGTTGTTGTTTATTGAAAATGGTGGCTATTGCCTATTGATCATAGGAGAAATAGTTAGTATAATATGTCCGTAATGCCTACGAACGTGATGTACGACCGTTAAGCTCTAACCCAATAAATTTAATGATATATGATTCAATATAATTTTATTTTCAATATATGATTAATAAAAATTTTTCTATAATATAATTTTTTTGCATTCGATACATTTTATTATGTTTTACAACAATAATAAAAATGTAAAGGGTATTTGACTTGCAATTCTTTTCACGGGCAACGCCGTGCGGGTACGGCTATATATATATATATATATATATATATATATATGTCTAGGGCGTTTTACGACAAATGTATCATTGTTCGGGGTGGCTGAATTGCACTTACTGTTGCGAGTTACATCCAAAAAGATTTAAACAATCACAAATTTTTAAGGGCAACGAAGTGCACAGGATCAGCTAGTAGTTAAATAATTACTTATTATATAATAAAAATGGAACTATGTGGGTGACAAGCAATATATATTAGTGATGTCAAAAATCCGGATTTTTGGATATCCGGATTATCCGGATATCCGAATCCAAAACTTAATAACCGAATAATCCGAATAATTCGAATAATTTAAATGTTCATATATCTAATCTAATTATTATAAAGGAAGGTTTTAAAAATATGTTGACGGTTGATGTAGTTGGTAGTAGTTATAATAATGTTTTATTTCATATTATAGAATACTAGCTCTAAGTGTAACTCGGGGCCCGTTGGACTCGCTGGAAGTGGGTACCGATTTTGGAGACAATGAATTATAAAAGGCGCAAAGGTTGTAAGACGAAAGTTTAGGATTTGTGATAAGGATTAGTGATGTGGATTGGAGATAAGGCTAGACGCTTGGGCGGGAATGTTAAAAGTTTGAGGGCCTATAGGGCCAAGTAACACATGGATGTTCATAAGATAATAATAGAATATTCATTAAGAATATAAGTAATGTGTAAAGAATATTCTTCATTCACATAAAGATCTTCTATTAATATACATAGAATGAGAAAAAATTGCAAAATGAGTCACCTATAGATAGTCCATGAATATCTAGTCTTATTGGATCAACTGTAAATAATTTTATTGGAACATTCATATCGTAATTTAAATTGTTCATACTATATTCTATGGGTATTCAAAATTAAATAATATATGAATAACTCATAATTGTTCCTTTAAATTATTACCAGAATACTATTTGATGATGAATATAATATTAGATTATATATATATACCTATAAATTATAATATACATCATATATTTTATTTTATTTATTTATATTATTTGGATATATTTTTTTATATGGACAAGGTATTTAATTGTTAATTTCACATTTAAATGCTATATTTAAGTCTGTCTAACTAAAAATAAAAAACAAAATGATCATTGAAATATACTCATAAATTTAATTTAATATAAACTTTAAACAATATTATAGATTATTATTATAATGAATATAATGATACAATAGCAAAACATATTTAATAATACAATTAAGATACAATATAGTATTTTAGATGATACACAATTCTTGTTTTCCTAATGTTGAAGTTGTTTTAACTTAAAAATTATTGTTATTTGGTTTAAATCTTTCACCAGCCTTGGTGAACCAAACACTAGCTACTAGTTCAATATCTTTTACTGATGCATCTGTACATGTTGATTGGACTGCTTCTAAAACAAACATTAACAAATAAACTAAGTTTAAGGAGGAAGCTATAGAGATATTTGCTGTCTCCGTCTGACAAGTGAGTAGTACCTATAACAAATTTTAAGCTGAGCAGATCAGATTTGACCCAATTAGTTTAAAATTTAATATAAATTAACCTCTTATAAAAATTAAATCTAATATTATTATCTTGGGCATGTATCATGTTTTAATTTTAAAGCAAGTTATGATTATTTTAAAATTGTAAATTGTTTGTATATCTTAAAATACTAACTTGATTTGTTGAGCGTAGAATTTCTAATGTTAGGCAAAGTAGAGCAACTTGGGCTAAAATGTTGGAGTAGGGTTGTAACCCCCACCTGATATTACATGGAAAGGATTTTTTTTTTTTTTTAAAGAAGGTAGGTATATTCAAAAACCAATCTTTATGCTCAAAGTTAAAATATACCTATTGAATGCAATTTAACTTACTTTTATATTTATATTATATTATTTTCAAACATTAATAATAATATTTTGTTTTATGTCATGTATAATTCTGCAAAAATTAAATCCCCAAAATAAAATATTACATTTTTTAATATTAATTTGACGATAATGTAAATATTAATTACTATTATTAGAATTAGCAATCGTTTTTATAAGTCTTACATATAGATACAATATTTAAAAGATTATAAAATAAAAACTAAAATATTTCAAATCATCGATACGTCAAAATGAACAAATAATTATCAAACAATAGTTAGGTAATGAATGTAAGTACCTATTATTTTGAAAGAACCATTAAAATATTATGTTCTTTCAAACAAATAAAATAAAATAAAACAATTAAATATTAATAATGTGGTTATTAAATTAATTTATTAGCTTTTGAAAAATATTTGATTAATCAATTTCATGTGGTAGTGACTACTTGTGAGTAATATTGTGGTCTGGGGATTATTTTTCCAATGTTCGGAGATTTTATTTCAAAATTCACTGTCTGTGTATAATAGTTCAATAGTACATTATACATATACTGTAAAATTATGCATAGTAATCTAACCAATATACTGAAATAAATTGTTTCCTTGAAAAAAATAGGTACAAGCATACAGTTAATGATATTTACCATATTTGTCATAGGAAATATAACATAATTATAAACTTTAAATAAAAATTAGGTAAATAATTAAATTTTTTTCCAAAAAAAAAAAGAAGAAACAGTTGAATTTTTAAGGTTTATTAACAATTGAATAATTTATTTATTTTTTTTTGGGGGGAGGGCTATTACAAGTTTTAGGGGTTAAGTCCCTCCATCCCCCGAGTTGCGCTTATGACAGTATATACACTTGTAAGAAGGAGACAACAAATGTCTGTGTAGCATCCTAATAAGTTATAACAAATAATATTGTATGACATCTAAATAATATTATACTTACTAATCAGTAATGATGAAAGGATAGTACTTTTAAATGATTTTTTATTTCCTTTGTGCCCAGTGTAACTAAATAGTTTAGCAAATTCGTCTGTTATGAGTTTTCTTAAAATGCGTCTCACTCTCTCTTTAAAATTAGATCCACCAATCATACTTAACATTTTAATCTAGAACACAATTTAATTTACAGTGTTACTTAAATTAATACTTGTTATTTTATATTGAAGTTAAGATTTTAATATTTTTTATGAATAACTTACAGTTTCATCATTGAAAAAAGAACTCTCTGCTAAAGCTTCAGTAAGAGAAGTCAAAGTGCCTTCATTAGATACTGGTAACTTCAAAAATATATTTTCTAACTCTTGGCGATCAATATTTCCAGGATTAATTTCTTGTACTTTTTCAAGTTTTTGTTTAATGTCATTGACCATTAACATGAGAATATCAAAATATTTTGAGTGCTCCACAGCCCTAGCATTCAGGGTAACTAATTGTCTCATTACCTGTCTTTGAAATTCTGTGAAATAAAAATAGTAACTTAATATAATATTATAATATATGAAATAAATTAATAAACATAAGAATTATTGAAGTTTTGAGCATCTTTTGACATCATAGTATTACTAAGATCATTAATCACCTCTTCTGTTTGAAAATTAACTACACATGATAACTAAACTAATTTCAAAATTTATTTAAGGGTTTTTAAGAAATTAATGTTAAATAAGAGGTAGAAGATATTTTCAAGTTGTTGTATATACTATAAATACAATTTATTTTATATATCTATAAATTCAATAAACTATTGTTTTTTAGTCTTTACAATTTTTTTTTCTTTATACCTGAATGATTGAAGTTTTGTACATCTGTAGGAATCAAAGTTTCAATAGCATTACCATTAGTCATCATTCCCGCTTGGACATTTACATGAGTGTTAACTGGAAACATTAACAATACAATTCATTTCGGAATTAATTTATAGGTTTTTAACAAAATAATAAGCAGAATATATTGTTAAAGTTTTTAAGTATACCAGATATAATATGATAAAATTAATTTTAGTATTTTTTTTAAATGTTTTTATCCTCTATACCTTAACAATTGAAGTCTTGATCAGCTCTAGACATCATATTTTCAATATCATTATCATTACCAGCATTAGTCATTATTCCCGCTTGGACATTTACATGAGTGTTAACTGGAAATATTAACAGAATTAATTTATGGGCATTTAACAAAACAATAATCAGAAATATATTGTTAAAGTTTTGAAGTATACCAGGTAGGTATATGATAAAATTAATTTAAGTATTTTTTTTAAATGTTCTTATCCTTTATACCTGAATGATTGAAGTTTTGATCAGCTGTAGAAATTATATTTTCAATATTGTTACCATTACAGGCATTAGCCATTATATCTGCTTGGTCATTTACATAACTGTTCACTATAAACAATAACAAAATTAATTTCAGAATCAATACTTTAAGAACTTTAAATTCAAAAAATGTATAAGACTTAAAAAAAATATTAAATCAGAATCGGAGTATATTAATGGTTAATAATTTAGTATAAAGACTAAAATGTATAAATCCTGCTTTATAGGTACTTCATTAATAAATTTCAATAATTAAGTATGAAAAATTGGTAGGTACCCGACAATTTTATATTTAAACAAAAAATAAACCCCTGAACCTGAATCTTAAAAATGTAAGTATGTAGGTACTTATTGATCAAGTTATTACTTTCATCTTCAACACTTTGTCTTATTTCATTATTTGATTCTTCTGCTGATTTTTTTCTGGTTTGTTCAAAAATGTCTTCTATAAACCATGAATATATTTTAGAAATAAATTGATAAATATTCAACATAGGTACTTTGAATAAAATATATTACCTGTGAACACTGGAAAAGTTGGTAATTCAACAGCAGACTGTTCTTCATCACTACTTGAGCTATTGTAATTAATCAGTTGACTTTTTTTTTATGTGTTGTTGGTGCATTATTAACAACAAAAGCATCACTTTCTGATGAACTTATTGCGAGAGTTGTGTTAGCAAAATCCGATGCATCATCATAAGTAAGAAATATATGTTTACATATTACTCTAATAGGAAACATTTTCCACCCAATAGCTGATGGTGTCTGTCTATTTTTGATTGCTGCTTGCAATTTAATGGATCCAAATTTTGTTGGCCATTGACATTTTTCAAAATTTACAATCCAATTACTTGGGATGACTTTAATAATATTTTTTTCATTTCTGAACTTCACAACATACCATCCAGCTTTTGCCATTATTTTGTTATAGATGACATTTTAATATTTTAAATATTTAATATTATAATATTTATAACACAAGCATATAAGTATCTATTAATGTATATATAAGTAGGTTCTACATTCGTAGCTCCTTGTTGCTTTATATCACTGTTATTTTTTAATTTATATACATAGGTAAATTATATACAATACATAAATATTATGATTCTTTTAACTTTATATTATGATACATAATATTAATAATCAGTATGTAGTAATGGCATTACTACAAACCCTTTTTTATATGGTAGTCGAATTAACTTTTGATGAATATTAGATATTGGCCAGTATGAAAAACATTCACTTAAATTATCAACAATATGAATACCAATTATTGAAGAACACACAGGTTTTGTATACAAGTTGTTCACGCTATTATATTTTTTACCAATCACAACAGCTTGTTTTAACTTCTTACAATAAGCAAAATTTGAAATCTCAATAATAGAGTTACATTTTAATTTACAACAACTATCTTGTAAATTTAGACTAAGTTTAAAGTTAGAAAAAAAACTTCCTTAAATTTAGGATCAGAAGTATTCTCAACCAAAATACCACTATTATGGTTTTTTCTAAATTAAAATTTCCAGCAGTTATTTTCTGAGTTGGTAATGTATTGGTTTTTTCTTCAGATAGACGGCGCACAATTTGAGAAAGAAAATTGTTATGTGTTCTTAATAACTTTTTTATTTTTTGAAGATAATTTTCAGATGAAAAGTTACTGAATAAATTTAAGTTACCATATTTTCTGGCATCATCAGTAATATGTAAAAGATTATGAAAATTATGAGATAATATTTGGGGCCCATAAATACATTTAGATGAGAGAACAAAATGAATTAATAATTTTTCGGCATAATCAGTCATTGTTTGCATTAATTTGTCAGACAATAAAATACGAACAGCAACATGTAGTGTCAAAAAATGTTCATATTTATTTTTTTCCAAATAATTTTCTAAAACAACCACTCCGGTGTATAATAAAAATTGTCTAAATTCAGTAGCTTTGTATCGCTTAGCATCTTTTATAGGCCTTGGTTTTCTTACAAATTCATGAGGAATATATTTAGTGAAACTTAATAATAAATCAGATATTTTATCAATAATTCTGGATTTATTGTTTATGATTGATTTTTATGATTGATTTATAATTTATGAGGGGGTCGTCCATAGCACCACGTGTTGACTAATAGTTTTTTGACAACACCCAGACAGATCAAGTGCATATAATCCAATGGGACATCAGTAACTAGACCTAAATTTGGAATTCTTTGCAAAATTGTATGGTGATGATCTGGATCAGATTGATTAAGGAAATCATCATCAGTTCTCTTTGTAAAATGTATATCAGGAAAAACAACATGATCGAAATACTCCCCTTCTTGGGTACATTTAGTACATGAAGAATAACCACTATGTCCCTTAATTTTGAGTATACTTGCTTTGGCAACAGCATCAAATAGTAACATTGAAATTTTAAAAATAAAATATTTATTTCTTATGTTTATACCATTTAATGTCAATTTAACAGCTTCATTTACAAACTCTTCCAAAAAATCATTGAAATCAGAAGGCTTGTCATATCCGTGATAGATACCAACACAAAAAATATTTGTAGGCAATAAAATATCAATATTAGTAACCAAACATAAAATTGGATATACTTGGCTTGATGATGAATCGCTAAGTGGCAATCCATCAATATTTACGGAGTTTAGTTTCGTTTAATTCATCACTTAATTCAAATGCATATAAATTATAGCTAGGTATAAGTAAAATGTATTTTTCATTTCTTATTAAGTATTAGTAAAATTAATCAAATTATTGTCAAATATAATTCATTAAAAATAGTAAATACAGTTACATACTTATAATAATTACAAAATATAAGTATCTACCTACCTACATTAAGCTTTTTCCATATCAGTTGGGTCCAGAGTTCAGATTTGACATATTTATTTTTAAATGAACAGTAAATTAGTATAGGTACCATTAATCAATATCAGAAAAACATTTTCAAAATTTTGTTACATAATATCTCAAAAAAAAAAATTTTAAACTTAGGTACTTGTATGAATAAGAAAAAACAAAACAGTTATTGATTTCATATGGGTAGGTAGGTACTTTTTTTTTAAAAATAAATAATGCTTTTAAAGGAAACATTTAATAAATAGTGACTTATTGGTATAACCTACTTAATTTAAGTCTTTATGAAGGGATCGTCTCATAGGTAAGTGTACACACTTAAATTTAAATATAATCCATTTAACTCTGTTATTATGATCAATATTAGAGTGAATTCACCGATTACTAAATTTATGTAAGAATACTATTATTATAGGCATAATAGATATTACAGTGAATTTCATGTTTTTTTATTTTTATTTAAAAGCAAGATTTTACTTATATTACTTATTTCAAAATGTACAAACAATTTAGAATTTCAAGTATGTACTATGTACTCATATAATATTATACTATATTACATTTTAAATGACTTACCTTTATAAATAAATGCCAATTTGCGTGTTGCAACCAAATTCAAATAGTTCAATTATGAATCGGACGAATCGGTACTCGAAATTCGTACTAGCTTGTAGATCGTAAAATCAGTGATCACTGATCACATTACACAATTCAAACTTTACACCTCAATACACAAATTTTTAAAATTGAAAATTAAAAACACAGAATAATGCAGAAAAACGTCTGTTGCGAATAATAGCCGTCAGACGCAGAGTCGACATTAAATGAGTAGTGTGAACTGTGAATAAAATATAAACAAAATAACAGAAACACATACACACACATGTCGGTGTGGCAGCTCACTTAAAACACAGGGAATCCCTGTGACCGTTAATTTAATTTATGATAACCATACGTAATAAGCTGAAAAAAATATTAATATATTATACACAAAGAATATTCATTATATCGTTTGTGTAAAATTATTCATTGAACATCCTATAATGGATATTTTCTATCGATATTGTTTTTGAATCATTCATTGATTGTTCAAAAACAATTAATCTGAAAACGAATATGAATAGATCAATACCAATAGATTATTCATTTATTCAACTGAATTAGGGTAATAATTGAATATTCTTCAACTAATATTCTTTAAAAAACAATATTTTATTGTTAATATATTATTACGAGCAGGCAAAATTTAAAATGGTTATTCGAGGAATAATTGTTTCATGTAAAAACGAATATTCATGTAATAGGCTGAGTCGAAGCACAATATAGAATGATATGAATATCCGGTGTTACTTGGGGATATATATATAGCAATCCGTCACAAACGTTGTAAATGGATAGGCTGGATACGATCTCCAGGATCACCTATATACAGTATACCTGCACATACCATGACCGGTGCTTTATCTTATGTAAAAAGTGTAAAGTCGAAAACCGTGTTGGAGTTTCTAGCAAGTCAGCCATCTCAAGTCAAAATCTATTAACTTTCAAGTTAACCACCACATACGTAGGATCGCAGATCGCGGACAATGTGCTACAGCAAATCAGGTAGGCAATCCACCTGCGGTGGATTGCAGACCCGAAATCAAGCGGCTATAAGTGAAAACCCTATCACACAAGTACACAACTTACGAAATAATTTACGAAAAATTCAAACTATATACAATATACATACAAACAAATATGATATGTATTTATTGTGTGATAAACAATGAACATTTTGAGAAATGTGCAATTATAATTCCTAAAAAAAATTATCATATAGGTAGATAGTTAGATATATGCTATTATATTAACCAATACAATACATATAAACATGTAACTATAGTGTATATAATATATTAATTTTAAAAAAAAATGCAAAAACCTGCATGTTAAAGTGTCTATCAAGTCAATCATCACCGTTTAAGACGAAACCAAAATTAGCAATCCGTTTGTCACTTATATATAGTAGGTATATCACATTGAGTGGTATGTGCCTTCGCATGTCCGGTGCCTTTTCTTGTGTAAAGTCGAAAACCGTGTTGGAGTGTCTAGCAAGTCAGTCATCTCAAGTCAAAATCAAGATTAACTTTCAAGTTAGCCACCTAGATAGGCAATCCGAAATAAATTACAAACTATATTTATATAACAATCATGGACATTTTGAAAAAATATGCAATTATAATAATTGGTAATAAAACAAATATAATATGTACCTATTTATTGTGTGATATAATATGACAATGACTTTTAATAATAATAATGTACGATATGTTCCTGTATTATTATATTATAATTTAATTTATATGAAAAATAACGTGAAAAAAAAATGCAAAAAAAGTCGGGTTTCGGGCGGCCGTGGAAACCTTACGGTAAAGATGATTACGACGCACGTACAGCGAACGACGGATTCGAACCCGGGACCTACGCGTTTCCTACCTAATGCCTAACCTACTGGGACACTATTTAGGATGTGAAATACGATCAAAACATCAACACTTAAGCCGTGCATCTACGGAGTGACGTAAAAAGATATATTCGATGATTATCGATGTAATCGCATATAATTCGCTTGTAATACGCGCATCTCCCATATATATATTTAACGGGGCGTGTGAAAAGCGTTTTCCGTTAATTATTAAATCATAGGGAAAAATTAAATTATATACACTTACGGTCGGTCGGTCGCTTCTAAACGCGATTGCGAGGCGAACGAACCGATTTCGGGGGAAAAGCGCATATAAACGGCTTTAAAAAAACGTCGACCACACGATTCGGGCACAAACGGCGTGCAAATAGACGAAACGGTGCGAGAAAAGGAAAAAATCGGCAAAAAAGTACGGTCGGGAGTGTATTTTTCGATCGATATTGCGACCGCTTCGGACGGCGCACGAATATAAACCGCACACCGGCGGCTTCGATTTAAGTATAAAAAAGGGCGAAAAGGGTCGAAATCGTGTAAAAACAGCTAATTTTCCGAAAATTTTAAAAATCGGCGAAATGATAGGAAAAGAGGTGATTACGAAAAACGTTTTAAAACCGACCGCCGCCGCTGCGAAGGTACGCGATTGGTCGCGCTATAAGGAATCGACGGGACATTGCCGGCGGGCTGGGGAAACGGAGCGGTGCTTCATTTTTTACGTCACGGTTTCACTATAGCCTGCGTTTTCCGTTCCACGGGTTGCTTGTAGACAATTTTAACATTTATAATAAATAATAATCATAGCAAAATCAACTATAAAAATAATTAATACGTAATAAATACATAATAAATAAGTAATACGATATACATTATACACATATCAACACAATATAATAATATTTTTTTTAATAAATAAATTTAACGTACAGGCACATTTAATGCAGAAGAATGTTGTTTGCAAGAATATTTTTCGCGAGAACAGATAAAAAATGAAACTTAAGTTCACGTGATTTCCACCACAAACACGGATCATCATTATGATTAATTTGTGGTTCAGCCAAGTACCTCGAAAATTCATCCTCAGAATTAAGTGGAACTATCCCCAATAAATCATCTAATACTGTACTTTGTTTAGTATTTGAGGTGTTTTCATTTTCAGATATATATCTAATTAACTGTATCTTTGAACGATTTTTTTGTTTAATAATTTCTCGTATACGATCTGATGATTCAAATTGTAAATTCTTGTACCTTGGATCTAGTAAACTTGCAATTTGTGCTATGTTTACTTCACTATATTCCGAATAAATGTCTGCTGCAATTCCATTTTCTTATTCAAAATCAATATTAAACCTCCGACGTAGTTCATTACACACTGTTTCTTTAAACACCATTGCTAGTGTTGAGTCTGTATCTTCGAGTTTTAAATGCTTTTCTATAAGACTTTTAACAATTGGTCGTATCTAAAAAATATGTTTTTTTTATTAATATTTTTAACTCTGAGCGATACACAAAAGTTATTGGTTTTATAATAAAATGTTTTTTTTTAGAGAAGATTTAGAGATAAATATATATATAATTTTGAGCTTGTTAATGTTGAATTTTGTAAAGCTTAATAACTTTTTTAAAAGTATTAAAATATAATTATTCTAAGTAATTTAATAATTCAATTATGTTTATAAATTTACTATTACCTATTAAATTATAATATTAAATAAATCATTTTATTATTATCATATATCAAAAAATGAATGCAAAATAATTACCATTGATACCTATTGTAACTTATCGTTCATATCATAAAACTGTCGTAGCTAATTGCAGTGGTTTTAAAAGTTTCACCAATATTTGGCAGTAATCCCAGTCTTCTTCGAGCATTTCTAATTTTTTTGCTGTTTTTGTGTTGAATAATGTACGATCTAACATTATCGATACAATAGCTGGCCGAAGTTCTAGTAAACGCATTAACATATCCATACTAGAATTCCATCTAGTCGGACATCTCTGTATTAAGCACAATTTTTTTTGTAATAATTCGCTGATTTTGTTTTCTAAAGCATTTGTTCGTTTTGGAGAGTGCCTAAAAGCAGCAACTATGTCCGAGGCCAATTTTAATAAATGGCTACACATTCTATTCTCAAGACCTTTATTAATAGATAATTGCAATGTATGGGCGGCACACGGACTTGAATAAATATCACGTTCTTGTAAGTTTCGTACAGCATTAGTTACATTTGCAGCATTATAGTGACTTATCCCTATGACTTTACCGGTTAAATTCCATGTTTCAATAATATTAATTAAACTGTCTTGTATAATATTATCTGCCGTATGGCTTTCTCGCATTTCTTCAAACCCTAATACTTGAGTACATAGTTCCCAATTTTCATTAAAGTAGTGACATGTGAATGTTATATAAGAATCTACAGCCAAAGACGTCCAGCCAACAGCCAACCGTAGTTAATGCTACACCTTTTATATTTTCTAGATTACGCTTTAGTTCCATCATTTTATCATCATACATTTTTTCAATACGAACGATGATTGTATTTCTACATGGTACTTTATAGTCTGGTTCAATAACTGACATCAATTTTCGAAATCCTTTGTTTTCTACCGTACTGAATGGTAGCATATCCATTGTAATCATTTGACAAATGCTCTGAGTAATCAGTTCGGCACAACTTTTATCTACATGTCTAAATTTAATTGCAGTTGAAACATGAGATCTCTTCAAACGTTTTTAGGGTGGTTGTGATACTACTGTTGGTATTGATGTCGAAGATGACATATCTGAAGATGTCGATATCTGTTCTGTTTCGCTACTTAAGTTTAAAATTTAGAAATTTTAAAAAGAATATTATATAATAGTTGTATTACCTATTTTTAACATTAAATAATTAATGATGGCTTACCTCTCCTCAGTTAATTGTACTGCATCGACTCCATTATTAGTATTATGCCACGATTTGTAGTGATACCACAAAGAAGAAGTAGACCCCATATTTTTCAAAATTTGACTACATATTTTACACGTCGCTGTTTCATTTGTTTCACCACGATTAAAATATTTCCAAACGTTACTACGATTCATAGTTATTGTTCAAACGATAATAATATAAAATAAAATAATTAAGTAAATATTTATATTAATATTGTCTTATGATGTTGATAGTTGACGAATAAAATACAGACAGAACGAAAATTAACATTAAATGCCATTACGACTAGAGCGATCATAAAATCGACAGTTGAAATAATTTTATCTAATCAAAATATAATCTAACACTAATATCCACAATAAGATAAAACTTACATTGCAAAAACGTATTAAAGCCTAATATGTTTGAGATAATTTAATACTCTCAACGATAAATAATTACATTACATAACATATTATGATAAAATGATATAACTTTACTAACATTTTTGAGTCAATGAGTCAAACTATTATTTTTTAATTTTAAGTTTTACCGTCTTAAATGAAACAGTCTAATACCTATAAATTAAATAACAAATAATTAATCAACAAGTTTAAAATATCCGGATTATTCGGATTATTCGGATAATTCGGATTTTATCCGTTTATTATTTGGATTCGAATATCCGGATTATCCGAATAGTATTGGATAGTGACACCACTAATATATATATATTATATATATATATATATTCTGAAACTACATATAATACAGCTGGTGAATCTGAAAAACTTTTGTTGAACCATTTCAATCTGGTTAAAATTATAAGCTAATCAACCTATATCATTGTCAGGATTTAATTTAATTTTTTTATTGCGGGGGGGGGGGGTAGTAAATGGTCAATCTAGCATAGACATTTTTAAATAAAGGTCTTCATGATAGAGTTGAGGGGAATATAGAATACAAAATTTCATTGCTAATATATATATACATATACATGAATATACTATATACAGCGGCGTATTTAGGAATAGTTATTGGGAGGGGATGAGCCATTGAATGTTACACATAAAAATACTATAAACACGATTTAGTGTCAGGTATATATAGGTAAATTCTTTAATAATAGAAAAAAAAGACCAAGGGGGGATTGATTCCCCAAATCCCCCCTCGTAAATACGCCGCTGATTATATAGTATGCACGGTTACTGTATTAAACGTTGAACCAAAGAAAATTGAACTGTTATTACACAAGAAATTAAACCAAAGGAACTCGGTGTATTATACAAATCGAGGTGCACTGATGCACGGTTATTACACCGATATGAGCACTCTAAATACACGGTCTAACCTGTATAAAAAATCGGTATTCAAAATCAGAAAAAAACGGTTCACTGAACAGGATTTACACCGTACTCTGCACCAACACATCTTAATATATTATTAAACACTGACAGCACTGAAAATGCTACTCGGGTAGTACCTTATCTTTTAGCAAATTTTATCAAGATGGTACTTTAGATAGGTAATTTTTCGATTTTATCAATAGTCATTAAATGCTACGGTAAAAACCACCGAAAATTACGAAAAACCTCTAAAAATTTGATTTTAATTTCTAATGCTTTGCTTATTACCATAGAAACGAATAAAAATTAAAAAATAACAATATAATATTAATTCAACTTACGTGATATAATAATTAATGACAATATAAAATATCCAGACTGACAAACTGTCTCCGCTCAGAATCATTTTTCTCATACAATGATATTAATGATATTATATCTTTGAATTCAAGTTTAACAAGTTGACTGCCTTGAGTATCATATGTGATATACGGAATACTCTACTATATTGCCCTTCTCGTTTGGTTAAACTTGCCGCGTATACTTTGAGTATCAAATATGATTCTCACTAAACCAACACTGGTTGCCCGTAGATAATGATAAACATTTGTCAGTTGGCCACATGGTAAAAACAAATAATATTGTGTTATTGTAACATAATTTTTTTTCTTCCATTAAATAAAATCGATTTTTGGTAAAATATAATCGATTTTAATTGAGTATCAAATATGATACTCAAGCCCTATCATATAGTACGCTCACGAAAACGTGCGGATGACCGCCACGCGCGCATACTATAAATAGGAAGACCGTTCGGCTAGGAAGTGTTACCTTCATAGGCTCACCTCTAGGTTTTTTTTATTTATTTATTCGATAAAATTTAAAGTATGGATGAACACAGCATATCAAATTATTTAAATAATATGTCAGATTGGTCTGGCGATGACACGGACGACGATGCCGATTTTAGTTTAGTGGTAAGCAAATTAAAATAAAAAAACATCGTTTTCTATTAAAATATTATTAATTATCTTATGATTAAATTTTCAAACGGTTTGACCTAAAGAATGACGAAGATGATTCCATTCCAAACACAGATGAAGTTGCATCGATTACCATACAAAATAATAATCAAAATTTAGAACCAGTTTGGAATGATGTAGATGATGCTTTTCAGCCTCGTGTTTTATTCAATCAAACAAATGAAACAGTTGGCATCAACCCAGACATTATTGACTGTTTATCTAAAGGTACACCTTTTGATTTTTACTCATTATTTTTGGATGATGAAATTATCCAGTTATTGGTTGAAGAGACAAACCGATATGCTGCAGAATTACTAAAATCTGTAGTTAGTCCTCATTCACGCCTAAAACAATGGGAAAACGTTACTCCCACTGAGATGAAAAAATTCTTAGGAATTATTATGTGGATGGGATTATGTCCTAAACCTTCCATAGCTTCCTACTGGAAAACAAATAATATTATTTATATATCCAACATACCTAAATTTATGAAACGAAAACGTTTTGAACTTCTTTTACGAACATTCCACTGCTCTAATAATGCACTTTGTCCCTCAGGAGACCGTTTATTTAAAGTAAATAAATTACTTGATTTGCTTTTATCAAAATTTAAAATGGCACGAGCTCCAAAACAGTCTATGTGTATTGACGAGTCAATGATTCCATTTACAGGACGTCTTTCATTTAAACAGTATATTCAAAACAAAACACACAAATATGGAATAAAATTATTTAAACTGTGCATTGACAATTTTTACACGGTTGGTATTAAAATTTATGCTGGAAAGGAGGCTACTGTTGGTCAGAGAGTGTCAACCAAAGTAGTAATGGAGATGGCAGAAGATTATCTTGACTTAGGTAGAACAATGTTTACTGATAATTGGTATAGTAGCTACGATTTGGCAAGTGAACTCTTAAACAGATCTACTAATTTAGTCGGCACTCTACGTTCTAATAGAAAAAATAATCCTAAAGAAGTGGTCAATAAGAAATTTAAAAAAGGAGAGGTAATTGCGAAACAATGTAATAAAGGCATAACTGTTTTGAAATGGAAGGACAAGCGTGAGGTTTTAATGATATCAACAAAACACTCAGATGCTCAATCTACGATAATTAATAAACGAGGAAAAGAAGTAATAAAACCTCAAGTTATTATAGATTATAATAAAGGCAAAGGGTTAGTTGATGCAACTGATCTTAGAAATTCTTATCACAACCCTCTTCGTAAAACTGTAAAATGGTATAAAAAAGTTGTTTTTGAATTACTTTTGAACACATCAGTTCTCAATGCGTTATCATTATACGAAGAAATACGCCAAGAGAAAATGGATATAACTGTGTTTAGAGAAATGCTGGTTATAAGTTTACTAAAGTCAGATGAGATGACTTTGTTTGGAAATATTCAAACTGCAAAATATCATGAATTGGAAAAAGTTAAATCAAGAGGACGTTGTTTTGCTTGCTATAAAGAAATGATGCTTCAAGGTGGACGCGATCATGCTCAAAAGATAACGAGACAAGTAACAACAAAATGTAACGTTTGCATTAAATTTTTTTGTATGCCTTGTTTTTTCAATGAGCATAATGCTGTTAAAAAGTAAGTTATACTAGTCATTGTTGTACTAATCAAAGGTGATACAATTTTTTATTTACAAAATTAATTACTAAAGAAAGTATCAGTATTGTTATAATTTTATTAATTTGTTTTATTGGTTTTAATTTTTATATAATTTTAAATACATTTTAAATTGAATTGTCAAGAAGTTGTTATAACTATTAATATATTGGTATAATTACGCCTTTTATATTTTGTTGTATAGGACGGGCTAGGCCGTACACGTCAAGTATTCAACAAATATCGTTTTTTTTTTTTTAATTCATTATAATTTATAATCTATGAATTAAGACTTGCATATAGCTAAAATAATAAATAGGATATTCTATAAACCAATGTGTGTAATGGATCGCCAAATAAAATAATTAGAAGACAAAAATAAAACTCGAGTTTTATTGACATTGATAACCATCGAATGTTCAGTTCGTAAATATTAGGGTTATTCCAAATAAAATATAAATAAAGTAGGATTATTTATATACCTAAAGTATTTGTACAGTATATTATATTTTTCTTATATCTCATTCATTTTATAAAAATAAAATGAGAAGGAATGTAGCTATCAGAAGGGCCAAAACATGATTAAATAGCAAATTATGTTTAGATTAAGAATCAGTTATAAAATTTAGAGTCAGATATGAATCTTAGTATTTATTTCTTAAAATAAATGAGTGTATATATGATACTCAAGGGAAGATTGGCAAGGTTATGTGAGTAGCATATTTGATTCTCAGGACAAGTTTGGAAACACAAATTAAATGAGTATGAGCGATATAGAAAAAACTACTGTGTATCAATAATGATACACAAAGCGAAATGGGTAAGGCCAATAAAAACGGTAGGGCAGTTAACTTGTTAATACAATCCATTATATAATGACCCACTTGTAACCTACTGTACAGCAGAACGACATCCACTTACAATCTTTTTTTTTTACTCATATAATTAATAATTATATATTTATATGTATTCTAACTAACAATTAAATGAATACCAAAATTGTATAAATGTATCACATATAATTTCAATATCATAGAGGTTTAGAGTTTTTAAATTGAATGTTGAACAACAAGTACATATTTTAAATGGTCTATTATATCAATAAGAAAAATCTAGCTGTGTGTAATAATACTGTTATTATAATATTCAAACTGCACAACAATCAAAATGTATGGAATTTGGTAGTTCTCATAATTTTATCAAACGATATTATATCAACATTATATTCTTGCAATCTGTAAAAATTTTAAAAACTAATAACTAATAACTAGATAAAAAAAAATATAATTTGATTTGGTATCCTTTTAGCAATAAAAAGCTTAATTTATAGTTAATATGCGGAGAACTTACAGCTAGAGCTGTACCTACACGAAACGGGGTTATTGTTTATTATGTGTTGATATGCAGCGTGTTCCATTCAGAGTAGATAACCGTGGTTCTAATATCCTAGATATGGGGGTAGATGGGTATAAGTTATTGTTCATTACCACACCTAAAAACATTAAGTTTGGCGCCACTGCAATTAGACGTTATATATACTATATAGATATACTTAGACGTTTGGCTTTTCAAATCAATTTTTAGTTTAATTAAAACATTGGATGAACAAACATAGGTTGGTACATCTTGTGATATTTCAAAATATCTACTGTAACTACATATGTCATAAGTCAAATTAAAAATAATAAATACACAGTAACAGATAAAAAAAAACCAATTTTTTTTTTAATATTAATATATTGTCATCGAATAGTTATGCAGACGTATAAAATTATGTATATTTTCAACATCTTGTGTAGTCATACCAAAATTTGAAATACTACCAAATGTGTTCAATACTGAACATTTTCTTATAAATTCTGTTATTATTGAATAATTCATCTGAAAAATAAACCATTAACACTAACAATAACTATCAAATATTTTTTCGATACGCTATGGCTATACTATCTACTGATCTACTTAGGCACTTGGTGTCTACTACAGGGATCAAAGGAAACAAATTCCCCATATACTTTTCTTAATAATTGGGAAAAACTTGATTGAAATTTCGTCTTAAGTTGTTCTTACAGAAATTAAAAAATTAAGTAGATTGAAATCTATGTTCATTTTTAATGAGAGTTTAAAGTTTAAATTTTGAGGACATTATATTATATATTACATATTCATAAGTATATTTAATAGTGGTCTCAAACGAGTTTCGTAATTTTGCTATTATTCAAAAATTATTAATCATAGTCATATTTTTCCATACACAATAATGAAATCTTCAAAATATTTAGAATAGTTATTTTAAGTTATTAACAGGAATTTGAAATTTTTTGATATTTAGGCTCTTATAAAATGCGTATTTTGCTTGTTCATAAAAGTTAGCATAAAAAATAATGAGAAACGTACGCATCATTTTAATAATAAGCATCTGAAGTTCAATTTTTGAAAAACTTATCAAAATTATAAGAATTAGCAAATTATTTTATAGTTAAACATTTAATTCAAAAAACTTGTACATCAAAAAAATATTGTTAACACATGAAAAATTCATTTTTGCTTTTTTTGTATACTATTAATTACGATACACAGTACAATTTTTCAAAGTAAAAAAAATTAATTTTAAGCAATTTTTACTTCAAACTTATTTACTCCAGTATAATAAGTTAATATTACAAGTAACGACCATAGTAATATTTTATGAAAAAATATTATGATAATAATATTGTCATATATTACATTTGATTTAATTTGGTAAAAATTAGTTAAATCTACCGTATTACTTACTAATAATAATATTAAATATTATGTATAATAAAATATCCTTAGAAATATATTGGCTGGTATATATGTATATCCTCTCAAAATAGTTTTCATTGTATGAAGGTAAGTAATTGATTTATCCATAGATCAAAATTTAACTCATCTTTACAGACTATTCATTGTAATATCTTTTGGGTTTTAGATTTCTTTTGTTAATTTTACGGGTGTTTAACTTTCAAATTCTTAAAGAGTGTAAAGTGTTGAGTAGGTAATTACTAATGCAGCATACTTACGATGTACGGTTGGATTAAAAAGGTTGGATTTCCGTTGGGAAGTACAAATACAATTTCTAATCGTTTCATCTGTTGACATATTATTGGGGGTGGAGTGATAAAAATGTTCTTCCAATATTCAGGTTCCATTTCGTTAAATATCTATATATTTTTAAAATTTTAATATTGCTATTATAAAATTTATTTCAAATGAATAGTGGATTAATATATTAAATATTTAATACTTGTAACTCTTCTAAGGATGGACAGCCATGAAATAAAAACCAATTTTTGGTTTCTTCAAATGGTGCTTCCATCTTTACTGTTTTTAAATATTCAAATTTTCCAGTTGGTTTTAGATTTATATAAAGTGACATGGAGACAATATCTAATATGATCAGATTTGGACAACCACTTTGTAATAATGCTAGATCAAAGCTGATATCTAAAGACTATAAATAACTCTCATTAGTTACATAAAATATAATTATTTTTGTAGTAAGATGGAAAATTATGTAATAATTCATCAAAATAAAATAGTGTTTTATAAAAACACACATTTTGTATTACTTCTATATAGCTAAGATAAATTATAATTGATGTAGGTAAAACTAAGTAAATTATTATAATTTTATATTTTATATTTTAGAAACTATGAAAAATATACTATAAAAAATAAATTTAAATGCCTTGAAAATACAAATAGATGATTTGGGTAAAATATTGCAATTGTGTATTATAGGGGAACACAAAAATAAATTGATAGGTTGCATATGAAAACAATTTATATTTTTTTGAAAGCATTTATGAAATATTTTATAAGATTTAAATTGTCCAAATATTTTATTAAATCTAAATTACTAATGTATGGGTGTAAAATGCCGTATCCATTTTTTCCGCTACAAATATATACCATATCCTTACTCACTAATATTTAAGATATGGTAAACTATACAAAGTAAAACTTTATATTTAGAAAGGTGATGTTAGAATCGAATTGTATCTTGTTTATTTTGAAATAATTCATATAAAATAATTCAGTAAAATAATTAAATTCACAGCCTATTAATACACATTACACAAACTTAGTATTTGTCTCTTAAAATAAAGATATACTTAAATGCTAACTTACTACACTTTTAATTGTTAGTTCAGAAAGATTTTGAATGTATCCATTTCTACAAAAGAATTGAAAGTATTCAATTGTATTTTCTATGTATAATTTCAACGAATTCAGTTTATTCCAGAACTCCATTAATAGTTGGTGGTTTATATTATTTAAAGGTTCATAACTTCGAGTTAATGTTGTAGTAAGATTTTTTAAATGTGGTAAACATTCACTCATAGTGTTTATTTCATCACAAGTTATATCCCAATCAATTAAAGTAATCGATTCTAGATTAAATGTCTTCGGCTTAATTATTTCATTCCATACGGTCATAATTATTTTCTTTATATTCCTATAATGAAAACCAAAACTATATTCAATAATGTATTTAATTAAATTTCAAATATTAATTTGGATCTTTTATTATTTTTTACTTAGTATTTTATTTTAATAAATTTAAATCATTAAAAAAAAAACATTTGTTATAAGTTATATTATGTAGATTGAACACTTATATTTTTTTTTTTTTTGATATTTTAACTTTTAATTTTAATACCTCGACAATTATGTACATTAATCTGAAATAAATATAAGTTGGTAAAGCTCACACTCGTAGAGGCCTGATTGCAGAATAAAATTTAGCGTATGTTTGATTATATTATTAACACTGTCGGTTGAAAGAGCGTCAATGAAGGTAAAATTAATACCAGAGGTGGAAAAGAGGATGTTTGGATAGAGAGAGAGATGGACAGTTTGTGACTAGGTGTGGGAAATCACAGTATTCTCCACCACAGTTGGGTAGGGGACAATACGTGCTACTGTTGAGTCCCAATTTAAACGAGTGGTGTGATAGTAGGTTTGTGGCCCGTACGTAATCTGGTGAATTTCGTTATGGCAGCACGGCTCATCTTTAGGGATTGAAACCATGCATAGGCGTATCTATGGGGGGACTTAGCCTCCCCAGTGTGAATATTAGCTCCCCAGAATAATTTGTATTATCATTTAGTTTATAGTGTTTTTTTTTCTTTTTTTCCTGCCCCCCTCCCAAAATATTTGATCACCCTACGCCTATGAAACCATGGTTGAACACTTATTATAAGTCATACTATGGATGGTATACCATTGTCCGGGCCATCCGAGATGTTTTAGGCTCTGGATACAAGATAAAATAAAAATCCATCCTATATTATTAGCTTTAGTGTACTGCAATCGTATTTCTTCTAATGTAAAACAAACTGTGTTTAATATTTCTCGATTTTCGACGATACATTTTAAAAATGCATAAACTTGAATCTCTGATCCATTCAGCATATCATTTTGAAAGGTATTTAGCTCCTAAAAAATAAAATTGTTCATTAACTTTCAAACTTATAATATTGTATGCAGACATTTTAAGATACAATTAAAATTAAATTAAGATTTATGACAGATATTTTGATGACGGAAAATAACAAGGTATATGTTGTACTGATGTACTTTAAATAAAAAGCTTTTGATGCCATCAATTGTTATAGTTGATGAACATGAAACATCCAACAGTTTTAAACATTTTGAATTTCGGCCAATAGCAATTAAAATTGAATCGTCACATTGATAGGTCAGCTGAAGTTGCACCAGATTACTTGCTAAACCTTCCTCAAAACACTTGCATAAAATATTCATTGAACATTCTATACTATTCATAGAGACATTCCATCTACTGCGATATTTCTAAAATCAGTTATTAAGTTGTGAAGTAATATTATTATGTTCATAGAGTTATCTTGAACGTTTCATTGACTCATTATACTCACTTGAATGTATACGAGATTCATATATAGTTTGTTTATTTTAGGACGATACGTCCAAAGATATGACACGAAAGACATCAACAGTGGTAAATCTTTTTCCAAATCGTTAATACATATAGGTGGCACATACTTGATTGTCTTGTCAAAAAGGGCTACTGAAAATGGCACCCAATAACTAAGTGGGTAAATGGGTCCGTATATTTTACTATCATGTTTTGAAAACCTGTTGGATTTTATCTGTTGTTTATTAATTATTAAACGTAATACTTTAACAATATAGATTCATAAATTACCCGTAGTATAAGAGATCTGTTCTTAAACTTCCTGGTAGATGTTCAATAAAAAGCATTCTCCATTTGTATGCTTTTTCTTTTATACTCTCTTCATTTAGCATAAGAATTTCGTGAATTTCCCTCTTGGCTAATTCTTCTAACGATACTACATCATTACAAAGCGGCATAATTTAAGTAATGCGATAATCTACGAGAAAAAATATAAACAGAACATTAAAAAATATAATCTGGTTATTATAATAATAATACAGTATGTCGTTTGTTTATAATAATTAATTGTAGCCAAAACATAATTATTATAATAAACTTATATATTATTCTAGAATAAAAACTAATTTGTAAATATTACTTACCAATACCTATAGTTAACTTTATAGTATGAAAACTTAAATAGTAAATGCAATATTTTATCGTTAAATTTAATGGCTAATGAAATTAGTCTATAATAATAATAATAATAATAATAATAATAATAATTTTATTTCTATTACAAAATAAATTAGTAGGTACCGTAGAACGGGGTGAAGTGGACCAGTTTTTAGTAAATTTCTAAATAGAAAGAAATCTAATAGAAGAATTTGACCAAAACGATTGAAATTTATAATATATTATCTATACGTATGTATGCTAAAACTAAAGACAATTTTTTTTTCTAACTTTTTTAAACCTTTTTTTTGTGCTAAAAAGTGGTCCACTTTACCTAGATATGTAGGGTCAAGTGGACCAGGCGTTTGTCTTTCATTAAAAACCACTCCAATCGATTCTAGTTTTGAAGTGGACCACTAAATTACATTTTTAAAAAAACATTTTGAGCATGTTAAACAATTGTTTATTCATCAATTTGAACAATTTGTTTCAATATTAAAAAAAAATCTTACTTTTTAGAAACATTCCTTGGTAAATATTTTAAAAAAAACAAACACTTAACTCACTATATCTTCTTTATAGGAACCTAACTAAACAGGTAACAATAAAGGTAACTTAAAATTTTAACAAAATCTACAGGTTTACCTGTTGATTTGTTATAATTATTGATATTCTTCTTTCTAAGGATGAAAATAATGACATATTTCTTATTATTAGTATATTAAATGGTTAACAAGAACTTAATAAAAACATTTTAGAGTATGAAAAATATTCATAGTCTTACTTACTTTTGAGTTTCAGACGACGTTTGAATAAAAAAAAAAATTGTTATTTTGTGTCAAACTAAATGATAAGGATTGATAAGGATCGTCCTGTACAACTGTTATCACTAGTATTAAAAATTGTTCAGTATCATACTGCTATGGAAGTAAAATTTATTAAATTAATTTTGATTCAACCGTGTTAAAGTTATGCTGATAAACATTCAAAAAAATGAAAATGGTCCACTTCACACGACCCGGTCCTATACTTTAAAAATCCTAGTTGTATAAACCGTTGGCGCTGTCACTTTTAAAAATTATTTTAATAGTTTTGTAAACTTACTTTAAACAGAGATTTTTTTCTGAATTAATTAAATAACTTACTTATTTAATTTGGCTTTTACTAAATTTTGTATCATTGAATTTATTTCGTCGATGCTGTGTGGTTTTTTGCCAGGTTTATCATTATAATATAAATCGAGTTTTTTATAAGACTCATTTTTTTCGTCAAGCGACATTATATTTTTTCTTACGAAGTATATAAAAGGAAAAAATAATAGGCACTATTTTACTCTCATATACACAAATTGCAAACACTAAACACACCTGTATTCAACGATCTTAGCAAAATGAAAACTGGTATGCATTCGCGGGTCGAATTGCCGACTATTATCGACCGATAATAATATTTATAAATAGATGATATCTAAATGCAATGTTGTAACTGTCGTTTATGATAGAGCAGATAAGAATTTTGTCAATCACTCCAAGCAAACAGCTATATATGGACATCCAAATGACGGTAAGCATAATAGTTTGTATTAAAGTACAAATTTGTAAAACATTTTCTTGAAAATAATTGTAATGTACGATAATAATATATTATAATACTTATAATTATAATATTATAATATTTCATTATGCTATAGGATAGTAAGATCAAAATACCATCATTTAAAGTTGGCGACTGTGTTGTAATCACGGTTCCAAAAGTGGATAGAGGTCCTGCATAAATTATACGGATGGGTTAGTATCTATTGGTAGTTTAGCTAATTTTACCACTGGTCGTTTTAAAACATTATCCGACGTACGTATGTCGTCATTTCCGGGGTGAACTTCTTCGATACGTCCGAGCTTCCGAGCTTCCAGTATGTGGGTGGTTGATTAGGCTTTTGAACCAGGACGAGATCTCCAATGTTGAAATTTGGTTGCTGGTGCGTCCATTTACTACGACTTTGGAGGGATGTCAAGTATTCAGTAGACCAGCGTTTCCAAAACGATTGATACATATGACGTATCAATTCCCAACGGTTCAGTCGATTGGTTGGTGTTGACGTTGTGTCGGTCTCAGGTATAGCAACTAGTGGCTGACCAATAAGGAAATCTTCTGGTGATAACGAACATAAATCGTTGGGGTCCGTTGACAATGCTGTTAACGGTCGGGAGTTTAGTATACCCTCGATACGAGCTGATAACGTAGACATTTCTTCATACGTAAGCAATTGAGTACCTATCACTCGTCGAAGATGATACTTTGTGGACTTAACAGTAGCTTCCCACAACCCTCCGAGGTGGGGTGTGGCAGGTGGATTGAATCGCCATTGGCATGGTATGGCACCAAATAACAAAGATTGAGCTGAGGGATCCGTAAATAAAAGTTGTAAGTGTCGATCGGCACCCTTAAAATTTGTTCCACAATCCGTATAGATATTGGAAGGTATACCTCGTCGAGATACGAATCGATGTAGTGACGCTAGAAAGGCATCTGTTGATAAATCTGAGACAACTTCAATATGAGAGGCCTTTACTACCATATACACAAATATACATAAATAGCACTTTATGGGACGGGCGTTTCTTCGTCATCCAACCTTTATAACAGTGTTTCTCAACCTTTTTACTGTGGCGACCCCTATTTTAAATTTAAATTTTTTAGCGACCCCTACATATATATTTTTTACATACTGGCTTAGGTTATCATTATAAATAATCTAGACTCTAGAGTCTATAGTTACTACAAGTACTGTACACGAGAAATATAAAAGATACATATTATAATATTATTTTTATTTAAAATTAAAAAAAACGTACATTAAATATTTCATTTTATTATATAAATAATATATTTTTAAATTAAGATTTTTAATGGCTTGGTTGTTGCTGTTGATGTGATATTATTTCATCAATTCTTGGTTTAATTGACTTCGTCAAGCTAATTCTCATAGCCGATGAAATTTCCAGACGGTTTCTAGTTTTATTTTTTATTGTTGTTATTGTGGAAAAACCATTTTCACACAAATATGTAGTAGAAAATGGAATAAGTAATTTTAATGCTTCTTCAGCCAAACTAGGATATTCATTTTGAACCTTTATCCAAAATTGACCTATATTTTTGTTGCTTCTGAAAATCTCGTGTAAGCCCATATCTGCACTAAATTCAATCAACTTTTCTTCATTTGTTAATAATAGTATATTTTGATCAGATTGTACGAATGGATTTATTACCCAATTATAATTTTTACGAATGTCTTTTGTGGGGTCGAAATATTTGGACATTTTAGATTCTGAGCGGAGCGATGAATGTATTGGTTTTACGATGATGTGTGTTCTTATATTTTTTTATTTTTTATTTTTTATTTTTTTTTGTGTCTGTCATCACGTTTTAGGACAGTAAAAGTGCTTTTCTGATAGGAAAGTGAATCTAGTTGGTACTTTGAGGGGTCAAAAGTATAAATTTCCCAGTAGTTTTCACAAGCGCCGGGAAAAACAACATAAAAATTAAGGAAAAACGGGAATTTTTACGCAAAATTGGTTTTCCAAAAAATCGATTTTGGTTATTGGTGTAACTCTAAAACAAATGAACGTATATACATGAAATTTTCACTGGTTGTTTATATTTGTATTTTCTATACACGATAACATTTTCAAAATATTTTGATTTATTTTGAACTGTTTAGGGACATTTTCATTTTCCATTTTTTTTTAGTTTTTTTTCTAAAAATATCAATAAAATTCTATTTGTTGGTTGCAAAAGCTTGAAAATTTAATAGAAGGCTCCTAATATATTGTTTCAAAGGCAGGTGAAAAATATTAAAAATCCTTAGTCACAATTTTTTTTTATAAGCATTTAAAGTTCAAAAATTGACAAAATAATGAAAAATCACGAAAATTAGCAAATTATTTTGAGTTGAGAATTCGTAAAAATTTTTCTTTTTAAATCTAAGATTTGAAAATGAAACACAAGATTCCTTATAAGATTATCTACCTTTATCATGTAAGGTCACAGAATTTAGACACCATATTAATATTGTCCCCATGTCATAAACTATTTATATTTCTCTTTCATAAAATATCAATTAACCCGCGCGCGGCTTGTACAGTGAATCGACCAATATTATATAAACAAAAATCCCCCCAATCCCCACCATCTGCAGTGTCCCGTCGCCAACGGCCGTTGCTGGCCGTCGGTCGGTGCCGCCAGGCGCGTCTGTCGTGTCTGCCGGTGTGCGCCTGCAGGGCAGTCTGGACTGATATTCCCTCAAATTATTGTATATTCCCCCCAACAACCTACACTGCTCTGCCCCACTTCGCTGGATTTTCAAACAACATCGACCGTTGCGGCCCACGGAACACTGCGTCTCACCCGTGCTCACTCGCCTTTTCACCGACCTCTGAAGCAACACTACTACGTTTTTGTTTTCACGTCCCAGCAAAATTGTATCCTGCGCTCCGTCAAAAAACCATTCGAACGTGACAATTTCAACGTCATTTCTTGTACCTTGGTGTACAACCATACGATGATGGGCTAACGTGTCACCAACAGGCTGTGGGGGCCTCAACACCTGAGACAGCATTACCTCGGCTCAACTACGTAAAAATTGTTCTCCAACGACCAGGTGGGCCATGCCGACCACGTGTGCGTCGGTGGCGTCCAGCCAGCCCACCCATATCTGCGGAGTACCACAAGAGCTATCCACGTCGTAACGTATCAATTCCCCGGTTTTCCTTTTTTTTTGTTGTCTTGTCACTTAAAGGCACTATACTTGTATAATGTGCGTTGCAGAACGTCCAAGTGTGGTTGCCATTGGGGCCTAGCGGGTAACCTCCTACGCGTTCACATACGGCTGGCGTCAAAAACCAGCTGTCCCTGTGCGCGTTTAAGTAGGGGGCCCCGGACCACACTTACAGACGTTCCGACCCTTCGCTTCCCCCCCAAAATCATTTAAACTGCCCCGGTAACCCTGTGGAGACCACCACGAGTAATGTGATGTGTCGATCCCCGTGGGCCGAGCGTTTTTGTTTCCCATGTGCCCTTTTATATTTAGTACCTACTTGCCATGTGCCATGCTATATTTTATTTTTGTTAAACTGAAAAATGTCAAAATCTTACTTAAATTATCTACAATCAAAAAACCTGTAAAATACATCCACGTGATTACCCTAATACTGCTCTTATTATTTATTTTCATTACCTTATATTTTTTTTCTCTTCTCTCTCTCCCAACATAAATCCTCGGCATTCAGCTTGCCGTTGCGTGTATCAAAGCCTGTGAGTTCCACCGACTTGACCCTCGGGTCTCACGCGGTGCGGCTCATAGTTCATGAGGAAAGTGTTCCCCTTTCCTCATGGGTGGTTTTGGTGGCATAAAAAGTCACTAACTCTCACAATCAATAAAAAAATCTCTACCGGACAGTCAAATTAAATTTTTATGAGCGTTTGAAATTCAAATTTTTACAACATTGGATATTCACTCGATTACTCATGTAGCGATTTCCTTATTTTGTTGCAATTCAAAAACGAACAACTGTAGATACATGAAAATTTCACTGAATGTTTAAATTAGCATTTTCTATACACCATACAATTTTGAAAATATTTTGACTCTTTTTGAGCTGTTTATGGACATTTACAGCTTTCAATTTTTTTTAGTTTTTTTTTCTATAAATATCAATAAAGTTTTATCTGTTGGGCCAAAAAGTGTAAAAATTTAATACAAGGCTCCTTATATATTGTTACAAGAGCAGTTGAAAAATATTAAAAATACATAGGCACAGTTTTTTTTTATAAGCATTTAAAGATCAAATTTTGACAAAATTTATCAAAATCTCAAAAATTATCAATCATTGTAATTAATAAATTATAAAATGTTCAGTTTTTATAGCTAAGGATTACAAATTCAACACAAAGGTTCTTATAAATAGTTCATACTATAACCAAAAAATCTAAAAAATATATGAACACAGTTATTTTTTACAGACATTTTAAATTCAAATTTGGACGAAATTACATATTAAAAAACCTAGAATAACTATTTTAGTTATTTTGTTGTGATTGAATAATATTATTCGTGGGTACTTGAAACTTCTAAAGTGTACTATTATATATCTATGATAGTATCACTGTTTTTGTTGATGTATAACGCGTTATAAGTATCTAATGGATATTGTGATATGATTAATTTGGAATTTATTATAGGTACCTATTATAGGTCAATTTTTTGTTTAATACCATAGATATGTATATAATATAATATTATACATAGACTGACATACCGTCACCGCTCAGAATCGTTTTTCTTATACAATGATATTATATCGTTGAATTCAAATTTAATACCATCCATTATACAGTGACCCACTTGTAACCTACTGTACAGCAGAGCGACACCCACTTGCCCACCTTTTTTCTCTTAATCTACCTAAGTGTTCTTCGGTGATAATACACATTTCATTAATTTCATTTTTTGTCAATATATTTTCCTGAATCATGTTAAAAAAATTTGGAAACATATCAAATGTGTAGTTTTTTACTCGATTTGTCCAGTCCGTTTTCAGTTCAAATAACCTAGTCAAAACTTTTCCTCGCGACAACCATTGAACATGAGTCTGTAATAGCAAATTTTTAAAACCTGAACCCATTTCTTCACACATCACTTTAAAAACGCGAGTGTTTACGGCACTAGCTCGAATACAATTTACTATATTTATGCAATTATGCATATATTTAGAACGTCAAATAGGTTTTCGTTTATATTTTTAGCGGCTAATTGCCCACGATGGATGAAACAGTGTGTTGATATAATGTTTTTATGAGCAATTTGTTGAACGCGTGTGACAAGACCATTACATTTTCCGGTCATAGCTGCAGCTCCATCAGTACAAATACCAATACAGTTAGAAAATTGTAAATTAATTTTTTGTAAATTAAATGAAATGGTTTTGAAAATGTCTTCGGAAGTACAGTATGTTTTTAAATTTAAGCAACAGAAAAACTCTTCTTGTATATCGTTCAGATCAGTATCTACATATCTCACATACATCAATAATATAGCTTTATTATTTATATCAGTAGATTCGTCAAGTTGTATTGAGTAAAAAATTGATTTTTTGATTTTTTTACTAAGCAGATTTTCAATATCATTAGACATAGTATTTATTCTTCTACTTATCGTATCATTAAACATAGGTATTTTTTTAACCTTTATCACGTTCTCATTACTAAATAATTCTGTACAAATATCAATCATACACGGTTTTAACAATTTTTCCCCAATCGAGTATGGTTTTTTTGATTTAGCTATGTGTATGGCTGCCAAATAAGAACATTTTGTCTTCGACCGTATAAGTATTTATAACTTTTTTATTTTTTTTTAATTCTTCGAATTTTCTTAAAAAAAGTCCCTTGTATTATTTTTATACCGAGCATGACTAGTTTCCATGTGTCTAATGAGCTTATTTGGTTTTAGTGATGCATTTGCTAATGTCATACCACAAATAACACATTGAGGAACATCCTTTCCATTCTCGTTTAAGTATGTAAAGCCATATTCAATGTAGCTATCTTTATATTTTAATATTTTTACCTTTTTGAGTGATGGTTCATTAACATTTTGAGTAGTATCCAAATTATGTTTTTTTTTGTAATATTTGAGTTTTGATTATCAGAAGTTGATGTATTGTGCGGTTGTTTGAAAAAGTTCGTCATTTGCGACTGTTTACTCATATTAGAAATATTTTATAATAATTAAAAATGCAACTTATTAACCTATATTTTACAACGGCACACTGCACGGCGATGTTAACGATAAACTGTGACATAAATATATAATAATATAATATGTGCAGTGTGCACTGCGGCCGCGGAGGTAGCCATATTTTAGGTTAATACTTGATAATCTATATTCGACGTTTATTATAGATTCTTTAATAGACGCCATATATAGTAATATCGCTTTAAAAATGATAATAGTGTGTTTTCCATTTTAATATAAATAATCTATACTCGTAATAGGTATGTAATATAATAATATTTTATTGATTTTATTTTTTTATTATTTGAGCTTTTAATTTTTGCATTGATTTAAATCATTCGATTGCGACCCTAAATAATAAGTTGGTGACCCCCAGGTTGAGAAACACTGCTTTATAAGGAATGGTCCAACAAAATCAATTCCTATGAGGGAAAACGGCCGAGCCGGACCAACCCGATATGCTGGCAGATCAGCCATTAATGGCTGGAGGGCCGTGGCTCTATGTCTAGCACATATAACACATTTGAATATTACATTTCGTATCGATAACTGACATGATAGTATCCAATACCGTTGTCGGATTAGTGATGCAGTAAGTTGTGAACCCGCATGTAAATACGTTAGGTGGAAATGACGAATAATTAATGTTGTTAACACACATTCTTTGGGTAATAGAATGGGATGATGAGCAGTTTCAGGTGCGTTCGATTGCCTCCAACTCGAATTATACCACATGCATCAACAAACGGTGAAAGTTGCGCTAGTGATCGAGGTGAAACCTTGGCATCTTTGTTTTGCAACGTGGATAGTAAGTTCAAAAAACTGTTGTATTGTGGTATGATAACAAGTGGAGTGATGGCATTATCTCACGTGACAGGCGGGCATTGACGTTCGTATACGTCTGGGGGTCTATTCTCAAAGGTATCGAAAACCACTTTCGATCAAAAATCGATTGTAAATATCGTCGTTTACGATTTCCGCAAAAATTACTATTCTCAAACGTTTTCGACAGCTAGTTCAACAGTAATATTCGACAATTCACATCGACAGTGAATTACGTGTCGAAAATACTTTATGACTATCGTCGCTCATCATTATTATTATATTTTTTTTAAACTTATAATTGGTGAAATTTATAATTTAAAACCATGGCATTTGACCATGACTTGGAAGATTATATGCTAAATAACATCGCAAATATGGACATATTTAATATTATGAATATAGAAAATATACCAAGGCGTATTTTACTAAAAGAAGATCCATTTGTTGGTAATACTCATGTTTTTAACACAGATATATGAATATTATAATATATTTGCACCGTTTATAAACATTAACTTCTATTGACTATTGTACCTACTAATTTCTTGATATATGAACATAAGTATGTAATTTGTGATTTTCATACAAAGAAATATAGTTTTAATTTTTCAGTTTTTGCTATTTTTGATGTAAATAGATAGTAATGAAAAAAACGTTGGTGAAATCAGAATTTGGGGCTCGGACTTAGTTTTTAAATTACAGGCGTATGAAGTCAAGCACTTTTTTTACAATTATCTTAAATAAGTAATATGGACAATATCGTTATCAGTGGGTTGTGGTGCGGTGGAAACATTCCGGGTTTCCGCGCTACAAGGTCGAGAGATCAATACCAGCCCGGTGGCCTTTTTTTTGCACTTTTTTTTCTCATTTTTGAGAAAAACCAACGAGCGAAAACCCCCGTTCGTTCGTACAAGGAAACAACGAAAACGGAAATAATTATAAAAATAAAACATTTTATTAGATTTCTTGTTCTATTAAAATACCATAAAAATCTAGGTAACAGGGACAATGGAAAATCGCTGAAATGAACAGTGATTTGGGGTGTATCGGGCCTCGTCGCTACGCTCCTCGGCGCCGTCGCTCCGCTCCGCAAAACGAAAATATCCCTCGATTTGCTATGCAACACCTCCCCAAGTGGGTCACAGGGTTAAAAAAAAATTGAATTTTTGTTGCACCGAGTCACCGAGCGCTATAAAATCCGAGCACTTTTACTGTCCTAAAAGGTTATGACTGACACAAAAGAAACAAACACACATCATTGTAATATCAATACATTCATTACTTCGCTCAGAATCTAAAATAACACATTTTATTAGTTTTATTTTCCATTAAAATACCATAAAATTGTAGATTAAGTACAATCATCCTAATACCTATAAGTTTTATTTTTTTCCATTAAAATACCATAAAATTGTAGATTAAGTAGGTACAATCATCCTATTATAAGTTTTCGATTACATAAAATGTCAATATCTACAAATTTTCGTTACCACGTAGGAAATATTATCGATCATTTCGTTTTTCTCTACCTCCGTGAAAACATTATAAGTAACGTGAACAATTTTAGCTGAAAATCGAGTTAATTTATTTGACCTTAAAGAGTGGTCAGACCTAAACGACGGCTTAGGTCTAATCACAAAATTACAAAATTTTGGTATTTTACCAACCGAACAAAAATGTGTACGTGGACATTTTATGAAATTGGTGAAAGATCTGTCTACATTAGATAATTTTAAGTGGATTTGCCGTGAAAAAATTGGTGGTAAGAAGGGAAAAAAGTCATGCAACTACAGGTAAGAACTTTTTTAAATTAAATACAATTAAAAAAATTAAACAAAAATTAAAAAAATTAAAACTAAAAATTAAAAATATTATTATATATGTAGCCTTTCACTGCGACACAAAACATTTTTTTATAAGTCGCATCTCTCATTACTGTCAATATGTGGATTTGTTAATTTGTGGAAAATAAACTGCAAATTTCCAGTAATGAGACTACAATTGAGGCTTACGGATAAGACATTAACGGACTGGTCGTCTTTTTGTCGAGAAGTGACATATGATATGATGGTGATCAATAAGACGAAATTGGGTGGATATGGTCACATCGTCCAAATTGATGAATCCAAATTCGGATTTTATAGGTAGCTACACCAATTTAAATCAAATTACTAATTTGTAACTAATTTATCGGTTCTAGTAACTTGTTGTTATTTGTAATTTAAATAGGTGACTGTGAATGGTTTAAGACCGTGGCTATTGACACCACTTACCGAATATCAACCAAACACACCAGAAGCTAGTTACAAGACTTGGTTGTGTAGAACAAGATCACTGATAGAGCGGTGTAATGGTGTTCTTAAAATGCGTTTTAGGTATTATTAAAATGTTATTATCTATCTAATACTATAAAATGAAGAACAGCTGACTGAGACGACAGCTGTCTATAGTGTACCAATGGAAAGGAAAGCGCCGGCTATAGCGAACCCGTGGCGTAAAAAATGAAGCACCGCTCCGTTTCCCCAGCCCCTCCGCCCATGTCCCGTCGATTCCTTATCAATCAATATGCCGACTTTTTCCTTTTCTCCCACCGTTTCGTCTATTAGCACCCGTTTGTGCCCGAATTGAGTCTTTTTAAAGCCGTTTATATGCGCTTTTCCCCCGAAATCGGTTCGTTCGCCTCGCAATCGCGTTTAGAAATTACGCCGGCGACCGACCGACCGTACGCGTATATATACATGTACGTGTATAATTTAATTTTTCCCTATGATTTAATAATTATTAACGGAAAACGCTTTTCACACGCCCCGTTAAACATATATATGGGAGATGCGCGTATTACAAGCGAATTATATGCGATTACATCGATGTACATCGAATATATCGATTTACGTCGCTCCGTAGACGCACGGCTTAAGTGTTGATGTTTTGACCGTAGTCCGTAATCCATATCTCAAATAGTGTCCGAGTAGGTTAGCCGTTAGGCAGGAATCACGTAGGTCCCGGGTTCGAATCTGTCGTACGCCATCCGGGCAATCATTGCCGTCATTGCGATATGGGGTTTACTCGGCCACCCGAAACCCGACTTTTTTGCATTTTTTTTTCACTATATTTTTGATATAAATTAAATAATAATATAATAATACAGGAACATTATTATTATTTAAAGTCATTGTCATATTATATCACACAATAAATAGGTACATATTATATTTGTTTTATTAGGAATTATTATAATTGCATATTTTTTAAAATGTCCATGATTGTTTTATAAATATAGGTACTTTGAATTTTATTTTGGATTGCCTACCTAGGTGGCTAACTTGAAAGTTAATCTTGATTTTGACTTGAGATGACTGACTTGCTAGACACTCCAACACGGTTTTCGACTTTACACTTTTTACATAAGAAAAGGCACCGGACATGTGAAGGCACATACCACTCAATGTGATATACCTACTATATATAAGTGACAAACGGATTGCTAATTTTGGTTTCGTCTTAAACGGTGATGATTGACTTGATAGACACTTTAACATGCAGGTTTTTGCATTTTTTTAAAATTAATATATATATATACACTATAGGTACATGTTTATATGTATTGTGTTGGTTAATATAATAGTATGTATAACTACGATCTACCTGATATAACTACGATCTACCTATATGTTATTTTTTTTTTAGGAATTATAATTGCACATTTCTCAAAATGTTCATTGTTCTATTATATCACACAATGAATACATATCATATTTGTTTGTATGTATATTGTATATAGTTTGAATTTTTCGTAAATTATTTCGTAAGTTGTGTGATATGGTTTTCACTTATAGCCGCTTGACGTCGGGTCTGCAATCCACCGCAGGTGGATTGCCTACCTGATTTGCTGTAGTACATTGTCCGCGATCCGACGAAGTCGGATTGCCTACCTAAGTGGCTAACTTGAAAGTTAATAGAGTTTGACTTGAGATGACTGACTTGCTAGAAACTCCAACACGGTTTTCGACTTTACACTTTTTACATAAGATAAAGCACCGGTCATGCTACGTCACATACCACTTTTTATGCAGGTATACTCTTTATCAGGGGTCTCCAAACTTTTTTATTCAAGGGCCACAAAAAAAATCAAATGCTCTTAGCGGGCCAAAAGTTTATTAAAACATATAATTTTTAACTTTATGATAATATAGGTACCTATATAAATAATATATTTACTTTATATTTTTGTATAGAATATTGTTTACTTTACAATATACTTAAATAAAAATAAATAGGTATAAATATAATATAATATAAATACATTTTTGAAATAATTTTTTTATCTTTATTTACCTATGCGTCCTATGCGGGCCACGGGCCGGTTAAAACTTGTTCGCGGGCCGCATCCGGCCCGCGGGCCGTAGTTTGGAGACCCCTGCTCTATATAGGTGATCCTAATAATTCACTGTTTCCAAAATCGGTACCCACTCCTAGCGAGTCCAACGGAGCCCCGAGTTACACTTAGAGCTAGTATATTTATATTACCAAGTCCAAAAGATAGCATAGAGTGCTACATTATGCACCAGAAAAAGCATCAAGCATAATAAATGCTTGTATTGTGCTTCATAATATTTGTATAAGCAACAATTTACCTATTATAGACAATGATGGCGAATTTGAAGAAAATGATTATGGCATTTTAAATAATGCAACTATTAATGAGTCAAATGCAACCCGTGCAAATACAGAACTAATAGCAGGAAAACGAATGCAACAACAAATAATTAATTCATATTTTAAATAAATTCAGAAAACTGACAAATAGTTAAAACATTAATAGTTTATTTATTTAGATAAGCATATCACTGACAATGTATATTTAATGTATAGGTTCGTAGTTAGTGGTCTTATACCATAAAATGTATCACAAATTAAAAACAATAATAATAGCAATACCTAGTAGTTTTTTATATAAACATTTACAATTAACTTTAACTTTAACAAAATAAATATTACCTCAGCCTTGTAGTTATGAGTAGTCTTTTATATAAACATTTACAATTTAACTTTAACAAAATAAATATTAACTCAGCCTTGTAGTTATGAGTAGTCTTTTACCATAAAATGTATCAAAAATTAAAAACAATAATAATAGCAATACCTAGTAGTTTTTTATATAAACATTTACAATTAACTTTAACTTTAACAAAATAAATATTACCTCAGCCTTGTAGTTATGAGTAGTCTTTTACCATAAAATTTATCACAAATTAAAATTAATAATAATGACACTTAGTTTTTTCATATAAAAATTTGGAATTTAAATTAAAATTAAACATCTTTGTCTTATAGAATATTCAATTATAAATTTGAATTTTTATTTAAAATATTTATGTTTGCTTCCATTAAAGCCATTTTCCTCTCTTTGACAATGGCAATCCTTTCTAAGAGCTGCAACTTCTGAGTGTAGTACTCTTTTAGAATTTTATTTCTGTCTTCACTTATGCAGTTATGCTAATAACTTGTAATGATGCTTTCAGCTTTGACAGATTTTTGAAAGACATCTAGTTTACTAGAAAATTTTTAATTAAAACCATTTTAATTATGTTTTGTATGTATAAGTTTTAGGTATTACTTTCATACCTTGCAAAAGATAAGTTCATGTTAGGTAACCTGAGTTTAAAATACATACACTCAACCATATTTTGAGTGTCCTTATTTAAAGTTGTAATTATGTAAATCTCTCTTTAAATCTGACTATCAAAAAGAATGGGTGACATTTGATTTTTTTAATACATAGTATATGTCAAGACCCCCTTGATTGAACAGAAATTAATATTTTTTATAGCATATGATTTTTTTACATAAAAAAAGTTTAATCCCTTCTTTGAGTGCCATTGTCATTTTTAAAATATCAATATATTACCTGTTTTTAGTTTTTAATCCAACTGTGTCTTCCAGAATGGGTGACATTTGATTTTTTTAATACATAGTATATGTCAAGACCCCCTTGATTGAACAGAAATTAATATTTTTTATAGCATATGATTTTTTTACATAAAAAAAGTTTAATCCCTTCTTTGAGTGCCATTGTCATTTTTAAAATATCAATATATTACCTGTTTTTAGTTTTTAATCCAACTGTGTCTTCCCTCTTGCTGTTGTCTTTACTGGAATTATCAGTCATAATAAAGTCTTGTAATGGTCTGTAATAAAATATAATGATTTAAATATATTATCAAATAAAATGTGTAAAAAAAAAAATTATAATTACATTATGTCCGTAGACACAAGTTCGATTGATCTTGGTAGTGATAAACCTGGCAAATAAATCTGTCTCTCTTCTTTCATAATCAACTAGTGATTTAACTAGGGGCCTAAAAAATATTTTATTGTTTAGTTTAAACTTTAAAAATGTAATTATTTTAATTAGGTACTACTCTCAAGTGTAAAGTGAAAATTTCAATTGTTTTATTCTAAATTATTCTATTTAATATTAAATGCTTACTGTAAACTATTGGTTGAAGAATCCACTATAATTTCATATCCCTCAAAAGATATGTTGGGTTCAAGTGTATTTGGTTGACCATAAATTGGTACATCACCAATTATACCAACTATTTTTTTGTCTAATGGTGCTAACTCATTCTCTAATTCATAGCTCCCTCCACCTGTTTTCCTAGTAATTTTTTTAAGTTCAATACATTTTGTTTTTGCATTACACTTCATATCTGTCCAACACTATTTGGTATCAAAATAAAAAAATATGTAAAACAAAAATTAGGGATGAGTTAATTAATTGGTGTTAATAATTAATATTACTCATTAGTTATTATTTATTAATAATAATTACTTTTCTCCATTTATCAGCGGTCTTGTTAGCACCAACCATTAAATTCAATAACTGAGTTATTTGTTCCCATAAATGTTGAGCCTTTTTGTGGGTAAAGCTGGAGGTAAATTTACCTCTTTTTAAATTGGTATTATTCTCCATGAACTCGACAAGTGCTTCCTTCTGCGCATTTGTTACGGACCTCCCTTTGTTTTTTTTTAGACTCATAGTGTTATAGTTATTATAATTTCAAAATTTAAACTAAGTACCTATAAGTATTAAGTATTGTAAAATACTATAGGTTTAGATAGTATTTGGTAATTGTTATTATTAAATATTAATTAACTTTTGTTATCATTAAAATTAATGATAACAATTAAAAATGTCATGGAAAAAATATGATTTATTCGACAGTCGAGAAGAGTGTCGAAAGTAATTTATTGTATTCGACAGTTGTTTGAGAATACGATTGATCGAAAATGTCTGATCGAATCGATATTAACGATCGAATATTGTCAATCGAACCATATTTTTCGATTATCAGATTCGATACCTTTGAGAATAGACCCCCTGGTTCGTTGGCAGGATCGTATGATCCACGCTGTAACGCGTATCAACCGTGTTAACGACGAAAACTTATCTAACCAATCTGATCGCGCATCGGATACTAGAATATTACAAGCATATTGATTTGTATTATAATCCGGTAATTGTGATGGTAGGATCAACGTTAAGTTGGACGATGGCCACATGTGTTCAGGTAATAAAATGAAAGGAGGTCAATTCCAATACAACGAATGGTTTTGGATTAGAGATGGAAATATACTTCGAGATACACAGTCGGTGGGATTCAAGTCTGAAGACACGTGACACCATTGACAATCTGGCAACAGTTCGGTAATAATCTTGAAATTTGACTGAGGTGACGTCAACCATGACCACACGAGTCACGACATTCTAATCCGTCCATGCTTGTATTTGCAGGATAGGTATAATACGATGTAATGTTTGAGCCAACAGTAACGCGCCACAAAGTTCAAGACGTGGAATAGTAAGATTCTTGTCTAGTTTGCCTAATTTGAGTGGAGACACTTTAGACTTAGCTGTAATAAAATGAACTGAGGCACACCCAGTACTATCGACACATCTAAGATAAACTACTGATGAATAGCCCTTTTCAGAGGCATCGGAAAAACCAAGTAATTGTGCGGACTGATGAGTGTATGTGTTAATTCTATTTTAATTTGTCGGTACATTTTACATATGTCAGCGGTAAACATGTATTTAAATGTACGACATCGATGACTAAATCGGAGATATCAGTTTGTAATTTCGGACCAACATGGAGCAAGTCGTTGAGTGATTTTCCCTTTGAAGATTTTGCTGAAGCATCAAAAACGACTCTAATCTTTATGGTTGGACCGATGCGTTTAACCACCGCGTGTTGGGGAATGTAATATTTACTGGGCTGACGAGCAATGATCATATGGCCAAGATCTTCATATTCTTTCATAAACGCACAATACTGAGTATATAGTTCACGATATTTTAATAACTTGCGTTCTAAAGTATAAAATCTCGAAAGTGGCATTGCGTGTGAGTCTCCGAGGTGAGATGGGTTCATACGAAACGGAAAAGAAACTGAGTAACGTCCGGTAGAGTCTCGTTTGTAGTGCGATTGAAATTATCTTCACATTTCTGGTCATCGGTGAACGGCAATGTTGATTTTGTGGGTTCTTCAAGTTCCCAGAACTTACATAACATATTGTCGATAGATGGTTCGGCCATGAGTAGTAATGATAGAATCACCGACAAAATATCGCATTTTACTCGTTCAGCCCAACTGACTGTCTTGTTCTTTTTATTTGGCGTATTTGGATTTCCTACTATACTTTGACTTATTTTAATTTCCGTTAGGTTTTGTTGACGTCTCAAACCATTTATAAATTTATAGATTGAAGGATGTTGAGCAGAAAGTAAATGAGCAAATCCGTTGTTAAATCCTTCACAAATGTTGTTTGTTTTATCCCAGTCACTTTGTATTGCCTCATAAACATTCCATAGAGGTATAGGAAATAACGGAAGATATCTTCGCCCTCGTTTTTTAGTACCAATCCAAGTCTCCTCAAAGTATGTTAGGAAAGGAAAAATAATTTGATTATTTTTAACAAAAAAATCTAATTTTAATATTTTTTCATAAGCATCACAAACATCTGATGGTGGTATAAAAGACAGAGAAGCAAAATAACGAATTTTCGAAGAGAAAATTATTATTTCCTTGTACAACTTTTGCATTTCTGGAATTGTTTGTATTTTTTTCCAAATAGCTTTCATTAGATGAAAGTAGCAGCCCCGTTGTTTAGTAGTTGGAAAACACTTACTGTATGATTTTCTAGAAGCCATTTCGAAATCTGTCATGATAGACTCTGGTTCGAACTCTCCAAGTTCATCAGCTAGAAAATTAAACAAAATATCGTAAGCTTGTTCTGTTCTGTGAGTCATTTACTGTATATTAATGGGAATATGGATCCGTCATTTAATTTTCCGTGAATTACAAAAAACTGATTAAAAAGTGGCGGAGCAGATTTGAAGGTTCCATCCGCATACCATTGTGAACATTTTTTTAATATTTTCAAATTATCCTCAGTACAAAATACTAAAACACGTACGTTTTCACTTCCAGAGTCAAAATATAAAAATTTTTCTTTTTTTCTGTTTATTTGATATATATCAGGAATTGTTAGTTCTTCCACACAATTAGGGCGTAAAGTTGGAAATTCCTTCTTCCGTCGTCTCTGAATTGTTCTTTTTAGGAAGTCAATTTTTGTAATATAAGAAATTATTTCACGTGGTAATTCTTTTGAAGCTGAAGCTAAAACCAACGCTGAAGTACTAGTAGAAGTTGTTGCATTTTCTTTTATTTCTGAGATAAATTGGATTGCAGCCAATCTGGATGCCTCTGGTAAAAGAGTGTGATTGTCAGAGTCCCAAACAACGTTATTTGATTGTGTATGACACCTTCCACTGCATTTTTTACCGGCATATTGACTGCACTTCCAAATAATCTGAAAATAATAAATAATGCATATAAATCCGGTCTTTATTAATAATTAACGGGCAACACAGATTATTCTAACACGGACCACCCCGGCTCGAAAACGACGGACGACTAATTACGGCGGCCGTGTTGTTCCGTGCGCCCACTATTGTTATTATAGATACGAGCATAGAATGTTATAAACAGTAATATTATTTATCTTCCCTTGGAATCAGCACCATCTTTTTCTTTCGTAAAAGTATATCCGTTATGAAATAATAAATTTTTACCTTTTGCAGTTTTTAAAAAATTTAACTCCATTTAAAATTAAAATAAACAAAAAAAAAACTCTGTAAAACTGTATAAAAGTGTGAAACTGTAAAAGCGTCAATCACAGTGTCACAGTAACAGTACAAAGTATTACTAAATAGAAATTATAAAATTAAAAACCAGTATACTTGAATGCATTGCTAGCTAGAAGGCAAATACGATTAGATAAGATAAAGTCAAATGCAATATACAGACGCGATAATAATGTACGGCAGTATTATTTCTTTACGATATAATGGTTTCGCGATATTTTAGTTGCGATATTTTGGTCACGCTATATTTTACCGGCGATATTTTGTGGGGTACCGTAATGATACCCGCGACGACGAAGTGTTAACAGTCGACTGAAATATTATTATCCAACCAAAATGTGTCTTATAAGCTGACGGTAAACCTGGAGTGTGTATTATACGCGAACAGTTGCCAAATATGTTCGCATAAATATCGGCTCCCACCAGAAACTCAATGGGTCCAGGTGTATCAAAGTGAGGGTCACCAAATTCGATGTGACTATAAGTTCGGCGAATATTGGAACTTAATGTCATTGTCGGCATGGGACCTGTTATGCGTGACAAAATTAATGGTTTGCATGATATATGAGGACTTTCTTTATTTATAGGCACAAAAGTGCACCATGTACTTCTTTGGTTGCTGTTTCTATAGTCTGTGATAACCCGGTTATTTCTGTTTGGCAGTGACGACGTTGTAAACCTAACCGCGTCACACGTGCGTTTGTTATTACTGATATTTGTGAACCAGTATCTAACAGAGTCCGGACATTAGTCCACTGGCCCAAGTAATTACGAATTCAGATAATGACTGTTCCCAATATAACATTACTTGCTGTACGTGTTATTCCAGTAAATGGTATTTCAGCGGGTGTAATAACTGGTTCAGGAATACTCACTGATTTGTGGGATGGTTTGACGCCATAGTCGGTACCTCTTTCATTTTAATAGTTTTTTCAAAATGTAACATAGTGTGATGGTTGCCAGAACATTGTCGACACTTATGTATGGAAGTACACTCTGATGTTTTGTGTTGTGGGCTTAAACAATTCATACACAATCGATTAGCTTGAGCGAATTAAAAACGTTGGTGAACATTAAATTTAATAAAGTTAGGGCATTGATGTAGGAAATGTGTACCTTTGCATTTTATGCATAGTTTGGTATCATTTAATGTCATCATCTTACTATGAACGAATTTTTGTGGTTGTTGATTTGATTGATGATAGTTTACTGATGACGAATTGTGTAAGATATTACAACGTGTTTGAATAAATGATAGCAATAGGTCAATGGTCGGAGTGGTTACATCGTTTGGTTGTTGGATCTAATACTCTCGAAGCCACATAGAATAATAGGAAACCTTCAAAATCGTCCATGCCAAGAGCCTTAATTGACGCTACTGTGATCGGAAGACCATGGACACAAGAAGCAGCGGAACCCGTAACAGATGAAATTAAGTAATGAAACTTGTCAACTTGTGGCAGATTAGGACTTTCATGAACTAATGACGAAAATGTATCACGATACGATCGCCATTGAATTAGGTCAAAATCAAATATAGGTAACTGTATCTTCGGCAATTGACATTGGGAACTTGATGGTGCAGGGCGTGCGTTCGCGCGGTCATCCAAACCTAAGGTGGAGTTGATTGCAATTATAATATAGTATTGTTCCATAAACGTCTTTTTTATCGATACATGTTGCGTTTCATTTTCGCTATCACTATTTAAAACGATTAATTGATCAAGAATAATATCAGTCTCCAAGTTGAGATCGATGACGTAGTTTTTGACATCTCTATTGCGAGCAAGAAATATAGGCACAACGGTTTTATCTGTTTGTAATGTTACCGCGATGTCATACAATATTTTCATGTGCTCAACAAGTTTGTTGCGCTTTACGATGGCACGTCTTATGCTTCCTCTACACTCTCGCCGAGATATCTTCGCCCTCGTTTTTTAGTACCAATCCAAGTCTCCTCAAAGTATGTTAGGAAAGGAAAAATAATTTGATTATTTTTAACAAAAAAATCTAATTTTAATATTTTTTCATAAGCATCACAAACATCTGATGGTGGTATAAAAGACAGAGAAGCAAAATAACGAATTTTCGAAGAGAAAATTATTATTTCCTTGTACAACTTTTGCATTTCTGGAATTGTTTGTATTTTTTTCCAAATAGCTTTCATTAGATGAAAGTAGCAGCCCCGTTGTTTAGTAGTTGGAAAACACTTACTGTATGATTTTCTAGAAGCCATTTCGAAATCTGTCATGATAAACTCTGGTTCGAACTCTCCAAGTTCATCAGCTAGAAAATTAAACAAAATATCGTAAGCTTGTTCTGTTCTGTGAGTCATTTACTGTATATTAATGGGAATATGGATCCGTCATTTAATTTTCCGTGAATTACAAAAAACTGATTAAAAAGTGGCGGAGCAGATTTGAAGGTTCCATCCGCATACCATTGTGAACATTTTTTTAATATTTTCAAATTATCCTCAGTACAAAATACTAAAACACGTACGTTTTCACTTCCAGAGTCAAAATATAAAAATTTTTCTTTTTTTCTGTTTATTTGATATATATCAGGAATTGTTAGTTCTTCCACACAATTAGGGCGTAAAGTTGGAAATTCCTTCTTCCGTCGTCTCTGAATTGTTCTTTTTAGGAAGTCAATTTTTGTAATATAAGAAATTATTTCACGTGGTAATTCTTTTGAAGCTGAAGCTAAAACCAACGCTGAAGTACTAGTAGAAGTTGTTGCATTTTCTTTTATTTCTGAGATAAATTGGATTGCAGCCAATCTGGATGCCTCTGGTAAAAGAGTGTGATTGTCAGAGTCCCAAACAACGTTATTTGATTGTGTATGACACCTTCCACTGCATTTTTTACCGGCATATTGACTGCACTTCCAAATAATCTGAAAATAATAAATAATGCATATAAATCCGGTCTTTATTAATAATTAACGGGCAACACAGATTATTCTAACACGGACCACCCCGGCTCGAAAACGACGGACGACTAATTACGGCGGCCGTGTTGTTCCGTGCGCCCACTATTGTTATTATAGATACGAGCATAGAATGTTATAAACAGTAATATTATTTATCTTCCCTTGGAATCAGCACCATCTTTTTCTTTCGTAAAAGTATATCCGTTATGAAATAATAAATTTTTACCTTTTGCAGTTTTTAAAAAATTTAACTCCATTTAAAATTAAAATAAACAAAAAAAAAACTCTGTAAAACTGTATAAAAGTGTGAAACTGTAAAAGCGTCAATCACAGTGTCACAGTAACAGTACAAAGTATTACTAAATAGAAATTATAAAATTAAAAACCAGTATACTTGAATGCATTGCTAGCTAGAAGGCAAATACGATTAGATAAGATAAAGTCAAATGCAATATACAGACGCGATAATAATGTACGGCAGTATTATTTCTTTACGATATAATGGTTTCGCGATATTTTAGTTGCGATATTTTGGTCACGCTATATTTTACCGGCGATATTTTGTGGGGTACCGTAATGATACCCGCGACGACGAAGTGTTAACAGTCGACTGAAATATTATTATCCAACCAAAATGTGTCTTATAAGCTGACGGTAAACCTGGAGTGTGTATTATACGCGAACAGTTGCCAAATATGTTCGCATAAATATCGGCTCCCACCAGAAACTCAATGGGTCCAGGTGTATCAAAGTGAGGGTCACCAAATTCGATGTGACTATAAGTTCGGCGAATATTGGAACTTAATGTCATTGTCGGCATGGGACCTGTTATGCGTGACAAAATTAATGGTTTGCATGATATATGAGGACTTTCTTTATTTATAGGCACAAAAGTGCACCATGTACTTCTTTGGTTGCTGTTTCTATAGTCTGTGATAACCCGGTTATTTCTGTTTGGCAGTGACGACGTTGTAAACCTAACCGCGTCACACGTGCGTTTGTTATTACTGATATTTGTGAACCAGTATCTAACAGAGTCCGGACATTAGTCCACTGGCCCAAGTAATTACGAATTCAGATAATGACTGTTCCCAATATAACATTACTTGCTGTACGTGTTATTCCAGTAAATGGTATTTCAGCGGGTGTAATAACTGGTTCAGGAATACTCACTGATTTGTGGGATGGTTTGACGCCATAGTCGGTACCTCTTTCATTTTAATAGTTTTTTCAAAATGTAACATAGTGTGATGGTTGCCAGAACATTGTCGACACTTATGTATGGAAGTACACTCTGATGTTTTGTGTTGTGGGCTTAAACAATTCATACACAATCGATTAGCTTGAGCGAATTAAAAACGTTGGTGAACATTAAATTTAATAAAGTTAGGGCATTGATGTAGGAAATGTGTACCTTTGCATTTTATGCATAGTTTGGTATCATTTAATGTCATCATCTTACTATGAACGAATTTTTGTGGTTGTTGATTTGATTGATGATAGTTTACTGATGACGAATTGTGTAAGATATTACAACGTGTTTGAATAAATGATAGCAATAGGTCAATGGTCGGAGTGGTTACATCGTTTGGTTGTTGGATCTAATACTCTCGAAGCCACATAGAATAATAGGAAACCTTCAAAATCGTCCATGCCAAGAGCCTTAATTGACGCTACTGTGATCGGAAGACCATGGACACAAGAAGCAGCGGAACCCGTAACAGATGAAATTAAGTAATGAAACTTGTCAACTTGTGGCAGATTAGGACTTTCATGAACTAATGACGAAAATGTATCACGATACGATCGCCATTGAATTAGGTCAAAATCAAATATAGGTAACTGTATCTTCGGCAATTGACATTGGGAACTTGATGGTGCAGGGCGTGCGTTCGCGCGGTCATCCAAACCTAAGGTGGAGTTGATTGCAATTATAATATAGTATTGTTCCATAAACGTCTTTTTTATCGATACATGTTGCGTTTCATTTTCGCTATCACTATTTAAAACGATTAATTGATCAAGAATAATATCAGTCTCCAAGTTGAGATCGATGACGTAGTTTTTGACATCTCTATTGCGAGCAAGAAATATAGGCACAACGGTTTTATCTGTTTGTAATGTTACCGCGATGTCATACAATATTTTCATGTGCTCAACAAGTTTGTTGCGCTTTACGATGGCACGTCTTATGCTTCCTCTACACTCTCGCCGAGGTGGCACGTGGCTGTGCGGGCACGAGAGTGTAGTCGGTTCACTCGTGTCGTCTCGTCTCGCCTCGCCTTGTGCGAGCTCCGTTCGGTGTCGGTATTTTGGTCACGAGTCAAAGGACACGAGGCACGAGGCGTGGAGTACCAACTACACTCTCGTACAGTCTCGCGCGCGCTCCTTGAAACCACGTGCTTTTTAACTGTGATAACTGATAAGTGATAACCGTGCTTGCAACTCGTGAGCTAGTCATCAGTGTAATTTACTAAAAGTTTTTTTGAATATTTGAATAATATTATATTTTAAAAATGTACGACTGGACAAACGAATTGTCAGTTAAGTTTATGGATAATTATCAATCTCAACCGATTTTATGGGACCCAAAGCTCCGGGGTCATAAAGACAAAGCTAAAACAAACGATGCCTGGACCAAAATCAGTAAGGAATTAAATATACCCATTGAAGAGCTGAAGAATAAAAAAAATTCTATTATGGCAACATTTCGGGGACACTTAAGAAAAAAAAAGGCTTCAATCAGATCAGGAGTTGGACAAAATAAGGTTTATCAGCCAATATGGTTTTTGTTCAACCATATCAATAGTTTTTTAGGGACTATCAACGATTGTAACTCTACGATTAATACTGAACAGGTACGTAAACTACTATCAAAACTTTTACTGATTAAGAATATTGATACTCATCTATATCAATAACTATATTGAGCATAGGAATATTTTATGTTTGATAAATTAAACATATTCAATTGAAAAAAAAAATTTAAACATAGTTATTGGCACCATAATTGTATTATTGACACTTGTAATTATAGTTATTAGCACCCATAAATTTATATATTAAAATGTACCTAGGTACCTATATTTACCTATACATTAACAGCTTAAATCAATTAGGTATTTCAACTTTTCATCTACATAATACCTATATTAAAAGCCATTTGCCTAATAAACCATTAGTTGGTAGGTACTTTAAAATAATAAATAGGTATAAATCTATAAAAATATTAAATTAAACAATCCTCTGTTTTTAGTTATTTAAAAATTGTTTGTATAAACACAATAGTAAAAAAATTAATATTAAAATTTTTCTAAACACTTTATTTTCTTCTACTGCAGAACTAGTTTGTACGCTGTCACTATTTAGGTGCCAATAACTCTACACTTTACCCTATTGCCAATTTTCAAATTGTTCAGGAAAATTAAACAGTAGGAAAAAAGTAAAACGTGTTAAAATTCAGAAAAATATACATAATATATTTTAATGCAAAAATGTCTTTAAAAATATTATCTGTCTACTTAGATTGATAAATTAAAAAAGCAATTTTTGTTAACTTAGGCAAATTGTTAATTTGACATTTTATGATTTAAGTACATAATATGTTACAATTTAAGAACGACTTAAAATGAAACTTGATGACTTCAAAAAGAGATAAAAATAGTATTTTTAATTAAATTTTTTTACTTAAAATACAAATTAGTTTAGTTCCTAAAATTATTTTTTTTTATTATAAATGTTTGATAATTTACAAATTAAGTATTTTAGTATTAAATTAACTAAAATTGTTTTGAAGTTACTGTCTACTCTGTTGATTGATCATGGTACTGCCTGTTATTGAAAAAATATGATGTGAATTCTTCTCTATTCTGGTTTGCGTTCATTGATGATCTTCGAGGTATTTGTTTTAAAGGCCTTAATGCACAATTTCCCACAACTTCGTTTCTCCATGAACCTGGTTGAGTTATAGAACCGAAATTATCGTATAAATCTATCATTCCCGGAGGAGTATATATTGATGCTGAAGTTTCGCTCCTTCTAAAAAAATTATGCAACAGTATACATGTCATGGTAATAATTGATACTTTTTCTGGGGCTAATGAAATCGGTTTTTTAAAAATTCTGTATCTTGCCGCTAATATTCCAAACACATTTTCTACCACAACTCGGGAGCCTGATAATGTTTGGTTGAAAATACGTTGTGGTGATCCGGATGTATGATTTCCAGGATAGGGTTTCATTAGGTTCGTATCAAGAGCAAATGCTCCATCCCCTAAAAAAAACGTATGGAGTGTCTTTATTTGTACCAGGAAGGGGTGATGGCATTGGTAAATTTAGGCTATCTGAACTCATTTTTTGGTACTACGATGAATTTCTAAAGACACCACCATCACTAATTCGCCTTTGGCTTCCAATGTCTGCGTACCTGAAACGATAGTCACTACTGGCCAATGCCATAAAAACATTACTGAAGGAGTTTTTGTAATTGTAGTGGTCCGATCCAGAATGGGCTGGGCTTTGTATAACGATATGCTTCCCATCTATCGCTCCAATACAATGGGGAAATTTTGTTCTAAATCCATTTTCTACCGCTAACCACTCTTCAGGAGAAGACGGAAACTGAAAACCAAATTTAACTGAGTTTAACGGTTAAAAATATTTCCTTAATGTTTAAGATATTGGTATAAATCTAGTATACGGCCCAAACTCGTTTTCATTTTTTTTTTTTTTTAAATGTGTGTTGTAAGGCACTGCATTTTAATATGTTTGAGGTGTTTCTATACAAAACTTGTTATTTCCAAAGACAATTTTTCAGGAATAGTGAATTTATTTTAATTTTAATTTTAGGAGAATAATTCAGGAATTAACCATGAGACAGAAGAAGGTGAAAATAATGATAGTAACGAAACAACCTTATCAAACACCCTCAATCATGAAACGTTAATAGAAAACCAAACCATAAGAGAAAACCTAAACCCGTCTAAACCTCGACGACGAGGTACTTCTATCGAGTTAGATGAAGCTGGAAAACAGATGAAACGGGCATTTAGTACATTGGAAAATTGTATCAAAAATAGAAAAGAAGAGGATGAATATGATTACTATGCAAAGATACTAGCAACAAAAATACGTAAGCTACCAGAAAACGAACGTGAAGTATTCATGTATGAAGTTGATGGACTGTATATTAATTGCTTACGCCGTTCAAACAATCAATCATCAACTTCACTCTCTTCAACACCAATATTTGGAACTAATATTCAAAGCCGACCACCATCTTCACTCGCATCTTATTCTGAACCTGAAATTATAATTTCAAGTTATCCGCAAAATGATGAGTACTCTCTTTCCAATCCTCCTTTGCCTGCAATAATACAGCATAGAACACAAATACTTGGAACAAACAGCCGACCACCAACTACACACTCCACAACATCAATACTTGGAACAAATGGCCGATCACCACCTTCACTTAACTGTCTATCTCTATTAATTTAACTGATCTAAATCAACCAGCTATGACTAACTCAAACATAATAAATAAAGCATTTTACAATGCTAATGATAATGAGCAATATTGAACTAAAGTTGTTTAATTTCTTTAAAAGCTACAAGTTATTTTGTTTTTTTAATTATATATATATATATAAAAGTTGTTTTGGTATTTAATAAGATGTTATTTTGTTTTTTTTTAATTTTATATACAATAAATTGTTTAGTTTTTTAATAAGATATTAAAGTTGTTTGGTTTTTTTAAAAGATACAAGTTATTTTGTTTTTTTAATTATATATACAAAAAAGTTGTTTTGTTTTTTAATAAGGTATAAGAAAGTTATGATTATTTTTTAATTTAAATCATTTTTTTCAAAATGGTTTGTCCTTAAAACGTTTATACTATTAAATAAATAATGTTCTTGTTATATATTATTGACTAGTTTAATTTAATTTCTTTATTATTAGTACCTAAACAAATTTACCTTTATTTCATCTTTCAGAAGGTCGTTAATTGCATTACATACTTCAGGCACGATCTGTGAAATAAGTTGACTAGACACTTTGAATACAAAATGCAAGCTTTTATAGCTATCTCCAGTAGCTAAGAATCTTAGAGTTATAGCATGTCTTGTTTTGGCAGGTATAGCTTCTCTGAATTGAGTGTCGTTTTTAGATATTATTGGTGATATTTTGTCTAATATATATTCAAAGTCTGATGAGGACATTCGTATAAAATTTTCAAATTCACCCGATGGTTCAAAAAGCAACTCTGTAAATACATGATAGATAGTTGGTCTGAAAAACAGCCGTAAATGTCAATATGTATATAATATAATGTTGTACATGTCGAAAATTATCAACTTTAATGTACTTACTTTGTTCTGTTTCGGTGTATTTTAGTCATCCACCATCTCCTTTTTCTCCAAGGCTTTTTAATTATTTTTTTTATCATAAATATTAACAAAATTATAATATGCAAAGGCGCACAATGCTGCTGCAGCACTTACTTCAACCACGTCCATTCTTCACAGCCAGGTACGAACAACTGAATAAAACGAGAATGTAGATGGTTGCCTCGCGACGGTTCGGCGAGAGTATAGAGCTAGCGCCTCGCCTCACCTCGCCTCGTTCAATCTCGTAAACGAGGCAAGCTCGCGAGAGTGTAGATGAAGCATTATGCCGGCAGTACACATTCGCCGAGATCGTCTCGGTGAAAATCTCAGCGAGACTTAAGGCGAGGCGAGGAAGTGCGAGTGCACGCAGTACACATTCCCCGAGATAGTCGTGGCGAGGCGAGGAAGCGCGAGTGCACGCAGTAGACACTTGGCTCGGCTTACAGGCACTTGCATACTTGTTCAGGATTTCAGTTTTGACTTTTGAGTGAACATGGACGCTGTTGAGGTGGCCGCTGCTACAGCCTATTGTGCATTTGCGTACCATAATTACGTTAACGTATTTTATAAAAAGAAAATCAAGAAGCCTTGGAAAAAAAGAAGATGGTGGATGAAAAGTATTCATCGAAATAGAACAACGTAAGTATATAAAAATATATAAAAATATATCGATAAACTTAAAGTATCTTGTAGCAGTTCCGTTACCCCCAAATATACCCTAGTGACCAATATAGTAATAAAAACCTTTTTTTTTTAAATTTAAAATTTATTTTCAAACACGGTAGTGCTTAGGTAACAGACCTCCTTAAAGATTTATTTATTTTGATTAATTAATATATTTGGTAAGAATAATTATTAACTTTAGTATAATATATATAGTACTATTTAGTTTTAAAATTATGTTAAGTATTTAAATGTATTTGTTGCAGACAAACTATTGAAAATCAGTTTTCAGAGTTAATTTTTGAGCCTTCCGGGGAATTCGAAAATCTAACGCGCTTGACTCACGCAGATTTTGAATACTTATTAAGTAAAGTGTCACCGATCATTTCAAAAAAAGATACACATTGGAGATTGGCAATACCTGCTAAATTGCGTCTTGCGATTACCTTAAGATATTTGGCCACAGGTGATAGTTTTAAAAGTCTCCACTTTTTATTCAAAGTGTCCAGCGAAGTTATATCTAAAATTGTTCCTGAAGTCTGTACGGCCCTAAATACAGTTCTAAAGGATCAAATCAGGGTAAAAACAAGTTGTTTTCTTATAAAATTAATTACAACTTTTAAATATTTTTTTATTTTAAATTTAAATACGTTTACAACTTTTTATACATAGGTATTTATTAATATTTAACAACAAAAAAATTAATAATGATATTATATACTTAATAATGTTTAACTTTTTTTTATATAAGTCAGTACTTTCAATGAAATAATTGTAGTTTACTGATTAATTTCATCGGACATCGAAACAGCTTTAGCTATAATGTTTTCTTCATCAATACGATTAATGCGATGATCGTAATTTTCAGATGTTATAGGTGTATTTTGCTTACCAACAATATTTTTACTCAAATATTGTTGATAGAAATTTTGTGGATAAGTTGGATATGTCATTTCAGAATATGATGATAAACTAGAAGAAGGCCTGCTTTGATATGTAGGGTTCGAAAAATCTGTTGATGATGTATCAAATCTTACTGCAGTTGATGAGACATTTGAATGAGGAGAGAAGGAGTTCATATTACGTAATTTGTTGATGTACATACCTTCGATTTCATACATAAATACCTCTCGTTCATTTTCTGGCAATTTCCTTATTTTTTTCGCTAAAATTTTACCAAACAGATCATATTCATCATCATCTTCTTTGGCACTAGCTCTTTTGGTAATTGCATTCTTGAACATATCAAATGCTTCTTTCATTTGGTTTCCTGCCTCTTGAAGCTCAGGTGGAGCACCACGACGTCGAATTGTAGGGTTTGGCCGTGAAGTCGTTGGGTTTGGTTGTTCAGGAACTATTGTACTTGTATTAGTCGTATTCTCTGTTATTATATTTTCTATTATATTCGCTCTATCCTCAGTTACCACACTTTGATTTTCTTCATCGTTTTCAGAGCCGATTTGCACGCTTTGACTTTGTTCGTCAGGTTTTTTTTTTTTTTTTTTTTACGAGTCGGGGTTATGACAGGTCATTTTACAGGTAATTAAATATATAGGTAAACATCCTTACATTTAAACTATAAATAACAAAACATAATATCAATTAGTCAATTAGTCAAAAAATCAACTGGTATACATAAAATAAAATAAAATAACATAATATGGAATAATGTACTTAGTAAATAATGGTAATTATATTAATGGTAACAATGGGTGGTTCTAAAAGGTAACGTATGAGTTGTGTTTTCAAATTTTTAAATTTTATCGCTCCAAAATTCTGCCAACTTTATAGCCTTGCTATTTGCGTCTTGTAAGTCTGTTACATTACATTTGATTGGACATTCATTGCAGTTTAGGAGGTGCGACATTGTCTGGACTTCTCCGCATATACAGCTCATGTCTTCATTCCCATTGCTTATTCCCCATTTTTTTAGGTTCTCCCTCGAACGACCGACTCCTGTACGTAGGTGATTTAGTGTTCTCCAGACCATCCATTTATTGTTATGTCCCGGGGGTAACTTCTCTTCAACTTTTTGCTTGCTCTCTACCTCCCATAACTTTAATCTTGATGTCTGTGGGTCATCTTCTAATTTCTTAGTGCATTTTAGAAAGCTCTTTCTTGATTTTAGTCGGAATCCTTCCACTTGTGTGTTATACATCGGGTGCCTTTCATCCGTGATCTGTTTCGTCCGTTCTATGTCACTTGCAATTTGTCTACGTATATGTGGCGGAGCTATTCCTGCTAGAAGGTATAATTTGTCTACTGGTGTTGGCTTTAAGCATCCTGTTATAATGCGAACCGTTTCATTTAAAGCAGTATCAATTTGTTTAGTGTGTGTTGATCTTCCCCACACCGGGCATGCATATTCAGCCACCGAGAAACATAGAGCTAGTGCCGAGATTCTAACTGTTTCGGGTTGAGCTCCCCACTTTGAGCTAACCAATTTTCGCAATAGAGTGTTTCTAGCGCATATTTTCCGTTTCAAGGCAACACAGTGTTCTTTAAAATTGAGTGATCTATCAAGGGTAACGCCTAAATATTTAGGATGGGTTGTGTGTTCTAACTTAACTCCTTCCCAGGTGATGTCCAGCTTTCTAGACGCTAGTTTGTTCTTCAGATGGAACGCACATATTTGAGTTTTCGTCGGGTTAGGTTTCAGTTTCATGTTTTGGTAATATTTTGTCATAGTTTTAAGTGAGGCCTCTAATTTAGATTCTACTCCTTCAAAGTTGTTATCTTGAACTGCTATCGCTGTGTCATCGGCGTAGATAAAGTGCCTGGCGCCTGGAGTGATCGGTTGATCGTTCGTATAGATATTGAATAGGATTGGGGCCAGCACACTGCCTTGTGGAAGACCATTTTTTTGTCTTCTCCATCTACTTTTGTTGTTTCCTAGAGTTACGTAAAATCTTCTATGTTGGAGTAGTGCCTTTATTATCTGCATAAAACCTTTGTCTTTAGTTAGTTTGTAGACTTTGTCTAATAAAATCCTATGGCTTACCGTATCATAGGCTGCTGTCAGGTCTATAAGGGCTACTCCAGTGATATTTTTCTTTTCAAATCCATTTTCAATAAACTGGGTCATATTTAGTATTTGCCCTGTGCATGATTTACCTTTCCTGAATCCTGCTTGTTCCTGTATCAATTTTTCGTCAATTTGTCTAACTATACGGTTGTGAACCATTCTTTCGAAGGCTTTATATAAGTGACATAGAAGTGATACCGGCCGGAAATTTTTGGGGCTTGTTGGTTCTTTACCTGGTTTCAAAAGGGCTATTATGTGAGCTTTTCTCCAAATTTTTGGCAGTTTGTAGGTAGATCTGATTTCATTGAATAGCTCTAGTATCCATTGTTTGGTCTTAGGACCGAATTCTTTAATTTGTTCTACACATATATCATCCAGTCCAGCGGCTTTCCTATTTTTAAGCATCTTAATGGTTTCGTTTAATTCTTCTATATTGAATTGCTCTTTAAAATGTCCACAGTCTTCATTTTCAGTTGTGTGTTTTTTCTGGGTTCTCTTTTGGTTTGTTTCCCTCTGACCTTTTCCGTTTAAGAGAAGTTGGTGTGCGATTTGATCTGGTGTGGTTAAGTTCTGTGAATTCCTTTGCTTTGGATCGTTATTTAGTTTCTTCATTAAGCCCCATGCTTTTTGGCTACTGTGTTTCATATCAATGCTTTCTACTAAATTTATCCAATTTGCTCTCCTTTCTGTACCTATTGCTTCTAGCAAAAATGCACCTTTATTTATGGTTTCATATCCAAAAGGGTCCTTCTCATACATTTCTGTGTATGCACGCATGTGTTCTGTTAGCTCTGAGGAAAGACCCGTTATATATTCTGTTCTGCAGCCCCTTGGAATATGTTTTCTCGATACTCTTTTAACTATATTCACAAAAGCCTCGTAATTTTCCTTGGATGGTGCAAGGTTTGTGATCTTCGAGTCCAGATCTGTACTAAAATCGTTCCAATTAGCCTTTCTGAAATTAAATCTTCTTTTCATTGGCACTATAGTGGGTTTAATGGTGGCGTTTATTGAACAAACAATTGGACGATGTTGGGAGCGTGGAATTGGTTTTGCTACTGTTCGTCAGGTACATAAGACTAAACAAATCAAAAACAATTATATTATATTCTGAATGTAGAGATAAATTTATTGATTTTATAATGAAGTGTTTATTTTGTGTGTCTATTTACACGTTTTAGGGCAAAACAAATGCTTTGATTTTTCATTTACAAATGACTGTACAGCCTAGTGGTATCCAATTGTCACCCTGTTTATATTATTTTTTACAGATGCCGTCTACAAAAGAAGAATGGCTAAACGTGGAAAAAGGATTCCGTGGAAACTTTCCACATGCTATTGGAGCTATGGACGGAAAGCACATTGTAATACAATGCCCGGTTAATACAGGATCGGATTATTTCAATTATAAAAGATCATTCAGCATTGTACTTTTAGCTGTAGTAGACTAATTATCAGTTTATTTTCGCTGACATCGGGAGCCAAGGAAGGATTAGTGATGGAGGCGTATTACGGAATAGTGTATTATGGCAAAGAATTTCGGAAAATACTTTGAATATACCAACACCGTGCCCTTTGCTTGGGTCAGGCGAGCCCTTGCCTTATGTTTTTTTATGTGACGGTGCTTTTGCGCTAAGTACTCACATTATGAAGCCTTATCCGGGAAATCATGAATTTGGATCTGATAAACGATTATTTAATGAAAAATTATCTAGTTCACGTGTGTTAGTTGAAAACACTTTTGGGATATTGGCATCAAGATTTCGAGTATTTAGAAAACCTATTGGCTTAACTCCAGAAAAAGTGTCACTTTTGACTATGACATGCATATTACTACACAACTTTATCAGAAAAAGTAATTCTAACCATATTTATGCACCACCAGGGACATTCGATACGTATGATGACAACGGTACTTTGATTCAAGAGGGTTCGTGGCGACAGGACGTACAGGATTCTTGCGCAATTAGGTCTTTAGAAGTAGTACCTCGTCGACCAACAACAAATGCTATTAAGATTCGAGAAGCATTTACTGCACACTTTTACAATAATATGTAATATAAAATACCTAATTCGTTTATTATAATATAAATAAATATATCGATGGCGTAGCGCACAAGTGTGATAAGTGACATTTTTTTTAAAAATGAGTTAAGTGCATAATCAATTTAATCATACAATTCTGCACATTATGCCCAAACGTTGTAAGTGAATAGTTCATTATTTACTCCGATAGATGTCGTACAGTTCGTTACATTTTTGAATTTGTTATAACATCTCAAACTTAAAAATCGTTCTCCTGAACAATTACGAAAATGTCACTTATCACACTTGTGCGCTACGCACAACGACTATTGAGTTATAAAAAAGTGGTTGCGGCGTTCGTACGCTTTTTTTACTATCTTTTGTAAAGATGTTTCACTTTAATTATAAATTATAATCTATTTAACAAGTTGACTAAAAAAATATAAATAAAACAAAGGTAAATATAAAATAATTATTCAACTCGTATTAATATTATACTCATTCAACTTTTTTAGTTAAAATATCAATGATAATAAACATATAACTGAATAATATGATTCAATAGGTATTGAGTACCTTATATATGTATATACCCATGTTAGCATCCGTCCAAAAATACAACGGCGCACGGGACAATCACATAGCGTTTGAGGACAGCTCTATAAAAACCCCGTTACAGTCAACTTGTTAACGATAAATGTATTTGAATTTAAAATATTTTTATTTATTGTAGGTACTTACATCATCTTGAGTAGGTATTTATAGTTGTCTGGCATTCATAAATTTGTGCTAGAAAAGACTCCATATATTCATAAGCAAACCATATTGGTTTGTAAATATCATTTGCCCCAGCTCCTGATTTAATAGAAGCTTTTTTTTTTCGTAAATGACCTCTAAATGTAGCCATAAGCGAGTCTTTCTTTTTCTTTAGTTTTGTGATTGAACACTCTAATTCTCCGCTTATTCGTGCCCACGCATCATTGACTTTTTTTTTGTCTTTGTGATGATTAAGCTTAGGGTTTCATATCACAGGTTCATTTTGGTACAACTCCAAAAACTTAAACGTTAATTCGTTTGTCCAATCACACATGATTTTTACCAATCACACAACAACAAAATTAGTAGATAGAAAGATAGGAAGTAGTAACTCAAGTACGCACGAAGAAATAATAGTTAAATAATAATAATAATAATAATTAATAGGCTAGAATATTCTAGAATGTACGAGTGTGGACTAGGTGCTCTCTGGCTCGCGTCTCGGCTAGCCTCGTATCCTTTGACTCGGGCTCAAAATACCGCCACTAGACCGAGCGCCGCCGAAGCGAGGCGATACGAGCGCATCTAGTTCACTCTCGCACTCGCCTGCCATCGTGCTAGCTCGGAGAATGTGTACTGCCGGCATTAAGCCGGGTTTACATTGGTAGAGTATTTGCTATAGTACGACGGTAGAGTGAGTACTCTACCGTTTCTAGCATAATGTAAACACTCAGGAATAGTATAGGTAGAGTACTAAAGATAGTAATCGGTATAGTAGAGCAGTTAACCACTGTGGTAAAGTACACTCTACTTGCTTTTACCCCCACCACCGTTTTTACTGTACTCTACCACCACTCTACTGGTGTAAACAGCCTAGTTTTGGTATAGTAAAGTAAAATATTGTTGTTATCGCCTGAACCGGCATTCATATTTATTTTTAAACTTTGTATAAATTTTTAATTTTGTTTAATAAACAATATTTTTAAACATTAGGTATAATATAATATAACTATTCTACATTTCTGATCGTATTGTATTATATCATTTTATTTCATTATAAAAGTGATTTTAATAATTTTTAAAAATGAAGTGGTCTGAAAGTGACACTATAGCACTGGTGGAATTGTATGAAAAGCATGAGTGTATATGGAATATTGGTTCTAAAGATTATAGAAATAAATTAATGAGAGACGCTGCCTACGAAGTTATCGTCAAGACACTTAAAAAAGATAATTTTGGCGTGACTGAATTAAAACAAAAAATAAAAAACTTAAGGTGTACTTACAACCAAGAACTATTAAAAATAAAAAAATCACAGAAGTCTGGTAGTGGTGTTGATGATCTATATGTTCCAAATATAAAATGGTTCAAATTGATGGATTCATTCATGAAAAATGTCAAGTCTGTGAAAATTGGTTATACACAGGACAATGCAGAAAGTGGAGGTAAGTAATATTTATTTTATTGATATTACTAAACTGATTTTCCTCTTTAATTGTTATTGTAACTTGAAGTAAGGTCAATTTTACAAATTATGACTATTTTACCAAAATATGCTGTTAAAACAACTAGAGTTTTAAATATTTCTAAGATAACCACAGGATACTTTTCTCACATTAATTAATTGAGAAGAGACGGTTATGGAGATAAAACTAAAAGATAATATTTTTGCCCCAAGTTAAACACGTGCCCCAAGTTAGCCTGGTTGACGGTAGATATTTCTTCAGATGGTATAATACATATAATTGAAAATTAAATTAACTAAACAGATACTACTAGTAAAAACTAAAAACAGTTTGTTATTTATTAATTAATTAGTTTAATTACTTACAATAAACCAATGCATTTTGGTACAAATTTTTCAAAATATTATAACATATTATAATATAATTAAACTAATTAAATTAACTAAACAGATACTATTAGTCTAGACTCTATACATATTTATTAGTATATATGCCTATATTGCCAAGGTACAGCTCCTTCATTTACAAAATAATTTTTCAAATTATCGCGTATTTTGTTGGCCAAGTCTGATGCTCTTCTTTCCCTATGACTTTCCAAATTTCGAAGCTCAATTATTTCCGTTCTCCAGCGACCTTCTCTCATTAAACCACTCGATATATCTTCTTCATCAATAGAGCCAGGTGGTAGGTATGTAGAGGAAGATTTTCGTAGAAAGTTATGAAGAGCGCACGCAGCTAGTACAAGTTTGTTCACCGTTTTTAAATTGCAATATATTTTTTTATCAAATACTCGAAATCTGCTAACCAAAATGCCAAAAGCATTTTCTACAATACGCCTTGCTCTGCTTAAGCGATAATTAAAAAATTTTTGAGGTACAGTTAGAGTTGTTCTGTAACATTTATATGGTTTCATCATATAATGTCGCAACGGAAATGCATCATCGGCTACAACACAATATCCTAATGGAAGCAGATCTTTTTGCAAAAGTTGTCCAAGTTCACAATTTTGGAGAATACCACCGTCCGATGCTGACCCCTTGCGGCCTTGCTGCCGATTGATACATAAGTAAAACCGTAGTTATGGTCAACCAGTGCCATCAACACTACACTGTTAGTCCCCTTATAGTTGTAATATTCACTTCCACAGTTAGGAGGTGCCATTATCAACACATGTTTGCCGTCAATTGCTCCGCAGCATTTAGGAAAATTCCATGTATCTTCAAAACCTTTCGCAATGCTTTTACATTCTTCATAAGTTTTTGGCATCTAAATATTTAATTATTATATTATTATTTGAATAATTACCATATAATGTAATACATTTATTGTATATGTACATTTATTTATTTTATTTATTTTTGTTTTTTTAATTAACCAAGGTAACGAAGGAGGGCTGTTGGAAAATGTAACAGGTGATTACACAGAAATGTCTACAACGCCGATGACCACAACTGTAGTTGCTGGAAACCCACAAGTGAATATAACACCAACTGCAAAAACTCCAGTAGTTACAAAAACATCAGCTAAAAAAAGGAAGCTACATCATTTTACAACAGCAATTACAGAACTGCGTAATATTCAAAATGATTTAAATAAAATGGATTCCACTGAAATAAGTGATAATGATGCTTTTGGCCAGTACGTTATTGCAGCACTTAATAAGTTGTCACCAAGGCAAGCTATTTTGGCTCAAAGTGATATACAGTCTCTTTTGACCAAGTATCGATTAGCAGAACAGTCTGGGTCAAACAGTTTTCATTCTACGTCACCACAATCTTTTTATACAACTGATGAAGATACATCTACACAATACAATATAGCAACTGATCAAGATACATCTACACAATACAATATAGCAACTGATCAAGATACATCTACCCAATACAGTTGGCTCTACTATCTGCCAACACAGGCAACGAACATGATGAAGATAACAGGGACAATATCATCGCAAAAGCCTGGTCATTAATTTAAATTTAATTTTTCCCAAATGGGATTTTTTTGTTTATCTAATTTTTCAGTCCATAATATTAAAATGTTTTGAACTTTAAAAGAATAAAAATCATTTTTATTGTAGTTGGTATTAGTTATAGTAGTCTTAACATTTAAACTAATATATTGTAAATGTTCTATATTTTGTTAATGTATAATAAAATATACTGTACCTAAGTACGAAATAATTTTAAAGAAAAATACCTTAATATATTGTTCCAGGGCTTGATAAATGGCGTCACAAACTTCTGGTAAAAATTTAGGTATTGCGGGAATTGACACTCTAAAGAAATGTTGTAGGGTTCGGTAACTATTACCAGTCGCTAAATAATTCAATGTTATTTGTAGCTTAATGCGCGCTGGTAGTGCATCTCGAAGAATAGTGTCCTGTTTTTGAATAGTTGGTTATACCAAATATAATAATTGTTCAAAATTTTCAGTTGTCATTCTTAAACACAGCCTGTACTCTTCTGGATCCTCTAAAGCTAGTTCAGTAAGAAGATTTTCTGATGCGCCAAGTACTGTTCTTCTTTTTATCCACTCTCGAACCCAAATTCGTTTTTCTTCATTACTCTCATCAATGAATTCTAAAATATCGTTTATTAACGCAGTTGTAACCACTCGAAGGCATTTCTTTAATAATTTTCGACAATGACGACGACGTACGATATCCATATTTGTTTATTTGATGTTTTGAAGTTGATCAAACCTAACCGTGACGGCGTGAATTTACATATCAACTGCACTCTCTTCTACTAAATACTAGCTTCGTGTAAACAGTTACTCTACTAAAACTAGTAGAGTAGAGTGAGTAGGCAAAACAGTAGGCTAGTGTACTCTACCAAATACTCTACCAATGTAAACCCGGCTTTAGAGCGCGCTCGTCCCTCTCGGTAGCCTTGTCTACTGGCGGCATGGCTAATGTTGTCGAGTGGTAAGTATAATATGTAGGTTTCCGGTAGCACAAGCGGAATTATAATATCGTACATCGATTAGGATTTACACGACACGGGTCACGCGCAATTAGCTTAATTACGTGTCGTGATTTGTGTTATCGCTAATTAGGACCTGAACCAATATGAAAATATTGGATAAAAATGTATACACTGTGGTTACTATAGTATACTATTAATGTAAATGAAAAAACAAATTTTTTTTCTCCAACACAACACGAGTTTTTAAGTACTTTGTAAGTGGGCGTGGTTTAGATTTTCAAATATTCATATTTTCCCGCGCTTTAAGCATGACGTCATAATGCCGTACTCCCGTTCTGGCCGTCACACTAAAATATTACTATTTTTATAGCGTTATCGCCACTTCTTACTTAGTTACCTCGCTATGTTACATGCGTATGTACGACATTATAATTTATTAATATTATAATTTGTATTACTACATGGGTAGTATAAATGTTTATAATATTATTAGGTAGGTACATATTTATTAGTATTACCAATAATAATAATACAATATTATCGAATTATCACTTTATTTTTAAGTTTTCATTATTTGAACTTCGCGTTCGTATCTTTGATCAACATATTATTTCGCACATTTTAATTAATAAATATGCCAAGGGACTCAAAATACAAATATTGTTTTGTACCGAAGTGTACAAACACTTCGACAAAATGCCCTAATAAACGATTTTTGAGCGTTCCTTATGATGCTAAACGGAGATTATTGTGGTTTAAAGCAGCAAGACGTAATGATACCGCAAAATCTAAAACACATCATGATTGTTGTGAAGATCATTTTGTTGTAAGTAATTTTTATAGAGAGAATTAATTAGAATTAAAATATTTGTCTTTTAAAACCAGAATCTTAAATAGAATAATTTTTTTTCAGTTAGAAGATGATTTAGATAATTATATTAAATTTAAGCTTATGGGAGCATCAAGACTTAAATTGAAGAAAAATATTGTACCACATATTTTTGATTGTCAGGTTGATCGTAAGCAAGCATCAACATCAAACCCTCGACCATTGCATAGTAAAAGAATCCGAAAAAATATCATTGATACCGCTATACAAAATCAATCTTGTATGACAGAAGGTACCTATACATTTTTCAAGTTAATAATATGTTATGTATTTTTTTATTTTTAATGATACATAATTAAAATGTTTAGAACATATTGATACAGTTATACCTGATGCTGAAATAATAATTGAAGATTTCCAACAGTCTGATAAACAAACAAAAGAAATTGGTGTACAAGTAAATTTAAACAGTAAAACGGTTCCTAAATCAACTAGAAGCAAGGGAACACAGTGTGATATCAGTGTGGAGTTTCAAACTGAAGATACTATAATTGATAAGTTGCCTTTAAATGTAAATAAATCTAATAGTAAAACACATGAATGTACCTCAATGTATGGTTCAACTAGTAGTTCAAATTCTGAGAGTGAGCTAGATACTTCTATGGATATTTCTATTAATTCTTTTTCTAGTATTTCACATACAAATAACGAACAAAAAAAATTCAAAGATATGAGCTATGAAATGACTTGTTTCTATATAAAAAATAAGCCCAAAGCTTATATAGGTTTAAATCCTGATTGGTATAATCGAGGATTTATAGAATTGTTAAGTATAAAGAGTAAAGTTTCAGAGAGAGATATATTATTAACACTAATGAAAATTCGTTTAAATGATTCATTTTCTAGATTAAGTGATTTTTTTGGTATGTCTGAAAGTTTTTGTTGTAGAATTTTTAATAAAACTATTAAATTAATCAGTGGATATTTTAAAGAATTTATATATTGGCCAGATAAAAATAGTATTCAGAATCTATTACCGATTCCTTTTCGTTATAGGTATTCAGATGTGCAATCAATTATTGATTGCTTAGAAATAGAAATTCCTAAGCCATCCAATCCTATAGAACAATCATTGACATGGTCTGATTATAAAAAATGCAACACACTTAAATATTTAATATCATCTACCCCAGATGGGTTTATTAATTTTATTTCTGAGGGCTATGGTGGTAGATCTAGTGATGTTCTATTAGTTGAAAAATCTGGTTATTTAGAATGTCTTCCTGAGAACTGTACAGTCATGGCTGATAGAGGGTTCAAAAGTATAGACTTTATGTTGGAAAAACGAGTGTGTAAACTAGTTAGACCACCAAGTGTTTTTTCAAATAAAAAGTCTACTAAAGAAGAAGTGCTTGAAACTAAACGTATAGCTAGTTTGAGAATACACATTGAACGAGTAATAGGCAGATTAAGAGAGTTTAAAACCTTAAAACCACATGCCTTGATGCATTTAAGTTTAGTTTCAAATGTAGATGATGTTATAACTATTGCATGTGCTTTAATTAATTTACAAAAACCTATTATTACTCAATAATGAATAAACCAACTGTTAATTTTAATATACTGTAAAGGACTTAACAAAATCAACAACTTTAAAATTCAATTTATTATGTATTATTATAGTATAAAATGTCAATATAGTCATATATTGTAAGTACCTAATACATATAGATAATATTAACATTAATGTTTATGTATTTATTAAAATTGGAAATATAAAAGTTTTCCAAAATGTCCAACTTTTTTTAATTAAGTCATCACACATATTTTTATTATAATCAATCCATGTAATGTGTACTTTCTTGTTTTGTGTAAAGTCAGGATCAGCTATTGCCAGAAGCCCTCTTGGTTTCTTTAGTACATGCATTTGCAGTTGAAGCTGAGCCAGAACTTTTGACTGTACGATACCATTTTTTATATAATTATTCATAGCAGTATGCTTCTGTGGACACTTGATTTCCAAAACAAAGTCTGAAGCAAGTCCATCTGCTGATGCTCCTATGATAGGAAAATCAGAAGAAATGGCCAAACCAGTCTCACGGATGGTTCTTTTTACTATTTTTCTCACTTCTTGAAGTATCTATTAAGTTGTTTATAAAAAACATATGTTAGGATCATCTGTTTACATTAAATCAACTTAATAAATAAATATACATAGACAATTAATAAAATAGTAAAAAAATAAATATTAAAATAGTTTTGTGGTGTATTTTTTGTCCTACTTACATCTTTTTCCAATAGTTTACCACGTTCCATAGCTGATGTCAATTTAATTTTTCTACATCCAAGTATTTGTTTGACCAGAACCCCATCACCTTTTTTACACCTAGATAACTCATATATTTTAGATGCAGTTATTCTTCCATATCTAAGTTCGAACCACAAAACATTATTAGATTGGTTAGTAGTTTTTTCCTCTACACCACTGAATACTGATATGGGTGTTCTTTCTTTTAAGAAATGTAAAAAGTCATCCGCTGTACCATCTGTATTATAAAATAATGTGTGTAAAAAACATTAAATACAAAAAAAAAACTTTTTTTCTTATACAAAATAACTTGGCCTTCCGTAATACTTAAAATAATTAAAACTTTCATACCTATAGGCTATACTTATATTGTGGTATTTTTGTATTATTAACTTACTACTATTATATTGTTTGGAGAATTCTAATATAGCTGTATGGATTGACAACATTTTGAAAAAAGATTCCTCTAATTTATAATTATGAGCACCAACTTGGCAATTTATTTGGTGGGTTTCTCCTAATTTCATAGCTTCATTAAAAAAATTCTTGTTAGATATTTCACTTTGAATATTTACTATGGATTTTTTGGACATAGATTTAGCTGTTATATATTTTAATGTTGTGCCAACCCCAGAAAGTTTGGGTCTTTTCCAATAGCACTCAACTTCTGTGGGAGACTTTTCTTCAGATTTTCTATGAACATACATGAGAAAAGCTAAACTGTGTTTACATCCACCTGTAAATAATAATAAAATCTTTGTTTACAACATTTAAGGACTAGTTATAATTAAATATAAATACCTACCTTATCAATAATTATAAATTATTTTCTATAGGTACACTTAATATCACAAAAGATTTATATAATGTAACATATTAAAATTCTCATAAAGATATGGGTTCTATATAAATATATATATATATATTATTATGCAGTCACCAACCTAAAGATGCTGCACAGTCATCACAATGTAAATCAACTATTTCTTCTTTTTCTTCATTTATTGTTAAAGAAACATGGTAATTTTTATTTCTAACTCTATGTTCAGGACAAATTTGAGCCTTAACATTACATATTATAGATCCTTCCCTTTTTATTTGAACATATCCAATAGCTGAATCTCCATAATTTTCTCTCGATGATCTAATGAAAATATATAAAAAATAATCAGCTCATCTATATATTTTATTAAAAAAAAATCGAGTTTTTAACTACATATTAGTAATTAGTATTCTTAAATATTTAAATTCAGGTAATTTAATTATTTAAATATTATAAATATTATTTGTATTAGGAAACAAAAAACTAGCAGTGATAATAAATAATAATAGGTACACACCTTTGAGCTTTTGATCCCCTAACTTCAGGATCATTGAAGCAATCATTATTTTTTATGTATTGTGTTACAGAAAAAATGTCAAGTTTTGGTAAGTTTATAGATGTACCTTTGACATAGTCCTTACTGACACTTACTGCCATCGTTATTCATTTATAAAAAAAAATACTATAATATATAGGTACATATAAGACTATACACATTGACATTAGTATTTACAATTTATTTTCTGCTGAAAGTGATACTGACGATACTGTCAATAGAAT